CTTCTCCTCCACCCCCCGTACTGTCTCATGTGGTGTCCCTCAGGGCTCTGTCCTCGGTCCCCTCCTCTTCACCCTCTATATGCTCCCCCTTGGTGACATCATCCGCAGACATGGAGTTAACTTCCACATGTATGCGGATGACACCCAACTCTACCTTTCCTCCTCTACTCTCAACTCCACGACCACCGATGTCCTGACAGCCTGCCTGTCCGACATCGAGTCCTGGACGAGAGACAACTTTCTTCAGCTCAACGTGCGAAAAACCGAGGCCCTCCTGATTGGCTCACGTCAGCGCCTCCGCACCTCAGGCGCCGACACCATCAGCATCCAAGGCTGCACTCTCCACCTCTCAAAGCCAGTCAGGAACCTCGGCGTTTTGTTCGACCCTGAGCTGTCCTTTCTCCCTCACATCCGCACCACAACTGGCACCGCCTTCCATCACCTCCGGAACATCGCCAGACTACGCCATTACCTCACCCCTCACGCTGCTGAAACCCTGGTTCACGCCTTTGTCACCTCAAGGCTGGACTATGGGAACTCTCTCCTCGTCGGCCTTCCCGCCACCTCCCTCCACAAGCTGCAGGTCATTCAGAACTCTGCAGCTCGTGTACTGTCCCGCACCAGGCTTCGGGACCACATCACTCCCACCCTCGCTCGCCTCCACTGGCTCCCCATCCCCCAGAGGATTGATTTCAAGATCCTCATCCTCACCTACAAGGCCATTCACGGCCTTGCTCCCTCCTACCTCTCCAACCTACTATCCCCCTACCTACCTGCCCGTACCCTCCGTTCCTCCGGCTCCGGTCTGCTCCACGTCCCCCGCCCCAATCGCCCTACCATTGGTGGTCGGGCCTTCAGCCTCTCAGCCCCGAGGCTCTGGAACTCTATCCCCAGTGCCTTCGCCTTGCTTCCTCCCTCTCCTCCTTCAAGGCCGGTCTCAAAACCTTTCTCTTTGACCGAGCCTTCAGCTCCCCTCTCGACTCTCTTCCCCCTTCTCGCTCCCTCCCATCCCTCCCCTCACCCTGACCATTTCCCCCCTCCTCGCTCCCTCCCCTCCCCTGACCATTTCCCCCCTGCTCGGGTCATGACCCAACTGTGCAGCGCCTTGGGACGTCCTCCTGACGTGAAAGGCGCTTTATAAATGGAATCTTGTTGTTGTTGTTGTTGTTGTAGGTGTGTTGCATTGTCGGAAGTGCTGTTCTTCGGATGAGACGTTAAACCAAATTTCCATCTTGCCTATTCAGGTGGACATTACAGATCTCATGGCATTATTTGAAAAGAGAAGGGAGTTTCTCCTGGCCAACAATCCCCCAGATAAAAATGGTCATTCACCTCATGGTTGTTTCTGTCATATGAATGACAAATTTATGTGGAAGATATTGGAGACGCCCTAGTCTTTTCAAACAATGTTATAGAATCTTTAATGTCTGACAATGTAGTGGCTCCATCAGTACTGCACTAGAATATCAGCCTGAACTATGAGCTGAAAGCCCCTATGAGCTTGAATTCGCATTCTTCTGACTCAGAGATGCGGGTGCTTTCACCTCATCCAAGCTGACGAGGCTTGCACATTGAAAGAAAGAAACCCATTTAAGTGAGATGGAAGAGGGTGTGGTGTTTGTAGAATGTTACCCCAGCAATAGAAACAGAGGAGAATGGGAGAGGTAGGGTGAAATAAAGTTTGAATGGCTCAATGATTATGGCAGCTGAACAGCTCGAGAGGTGTCCATGAAACTATTAAATGTGACTTTGAGCTCAAAGTCTAAACTGACACACCAGTACAGAGCTAGGAGAACGCTGAAACATTGGTGCCCTCCTTCGGGTGAGTCATAAAACCAAGGTCCCATCTGCCGGTCCTCAGTTAGATGTCAAAGATCTGACAATGCAGTTCAAAAAGAGAAGGGAGTTTCTCCCGGGGTCCTTGCCAACAATCCTCCAGATAAATCCTCTCTTCCGGGTCAACTGCTTGAAGAGATTTGAGATGTCCTCATGAGATGAAAGACGCTATATGAATATAAGATTGTTGTTCACTTTATGGCTGTTTGAGGAGCCTTGCTGTGCTCAAACTATACAGTAGTATTTGCCTACAATTGGACAGTCACTACATTTGATAGCAGATACCTAAAAAGCCCTTTGAGACATGTCGATGCTGTATCAATTGCAAGGACTATTTTAATAGCCTCATGATGTCACAATATCCAGGAACTGAGAATAACCTGAAGTGTCACAAATACCTTATGATGCTGCAATGGGATACAGTGGGGTCCAGTTACACTCAGTGGCTATGTGAACAGCACACTGGCCTACGAGACATAAAACATTGGAAAATGAGGAACTAAGATAAGGTATGGTGAACGGAGGGAGAAAAAGAGAGAGAAGAGATGAATGAAAGAAAGAGAAAAAAAAATAAGCATTCACAAAAATGATGGGAATGGGAAATTACACATGCGGTCATCAGCTTTTCATGCATAGAGAGAATGCCTCGGTATGCCTGCCTAAGCCAGGATAGATTTCCACGTCTCTGTAGACATTATGTTTGAAATACATATTGTAGTGTTTTATGTCAAACCTAGGATTTTATTGTTTTTTTTTTTCAGTTTCTAGTCTCATTGTTTCCTCTTTGAGTGAATGTTTTCTTCTTGGGTCAGTCTGATGCATGTGGAAACCCATCACCAGGCTTAAGAGCATCCAAACCAATCTGAGAGTTCCACACATGTATGTCTGATACACCTGGAAATGTCCATGTATTTGGAATGTTCTCTCTCTGAAGGGATGGACCCTGCTTATCTAATTCTGGAGAGTATTGAGCACAATGGTAAGAGCCAAGGTTTGGGGACCCCAGAGTGTGTTTTGGGGAACAGTTGGAGATCAACAAACTAAATTCGTCCTTTGGATGATACATTAAACCGGGGTCCCATCTGCCTGTTCAGATAGATGTTAAAGGTCCCATGGCACTATTCAAAAAAGAAGGGAGTTTCTCTCAACAAAACACAAAATACTGCAGATGCTGGTAATCTGAAACAAAAACAGAGAGAGCTGGGAAAACTCAGCAGGTCAGGCAGCATCTATGGAGAAAGGAAAGTGAGTCAGAACAGAAACATTGTGCACGTGGGGTCATCCCTCTGAAACGTTGACTCACTTTCCTTTCTCCGCTGACCTGCTGAGTTTTCCCAGCTCTCACTATTTTTGTTCGGGAGTTTCTCTTGATGTTGTTTCCAACAAATCCCCCCAATTGGTCACTCTTTGATTTTTCCCCAAATGTCCCCAAACATGACTATTTATGAAACATTGCTGTGTGCAAATTGGCTGCCACATTTCACTCACAAAATACAGTCAATCCATTTTACAGTAATGTGTAATCCTGCTTTTACACGTCTCGACGATGTGAAAAGGCGCTACATCAAATGCAAGTATTAGTATTATTAAAACCATATAGCTTGCCATTGAGAGCACTTTCTGGCAAGTGTTCCCATACTTGATCAGCAAGGACCACTGAGCCCATTCGGGCTTTGGCTTGCAGAGTTATCAAGACAACAACAAATTACATTTGTATAGCGGCTTTCACGTCAGAAGGATGTCCTGAGACTTGACTCTGCTTCCAGTGACTGCTTTGCCCCTCCTAGTCCTGCTGAACCAGTGCTGTCATCAGCAGTGCCCTGGAGTACTGCAAACCCGCTTGTATCATGAATCAGACTTCTACAAACCCCCCCACAGAGGGTTGACTTAATTCTGACATTCTGTAGCCAAACACATCACCTTGGAACCAAGGAGACCCCGCTTACCTCTTCCACCTCCCAAGGATGATAGTCTTTGAGTGAATGGATTAAATCGCTGTGTTAGGTTTTATATCCTATGTATGGGTCATGGAGGCGGAAAAAACTTGCTAATGTTCTCCCTCTTGCATATCAAGTGTCCCCTTCCCACATTCTGGAAAAGTGCACACATGGGTAAAGTCTAGTCACTATGTAATTTGTAGGCGAACGCGGCAGCCAATTTGCGCACAGTAATGTTCTATAAACAGCCAATGATTCATTAATTTGTCAGTCAGTGATTCGTTTTCTCTGGGGGATTGTTGGTCAGGACACCAGGAGAAAGTCCCTTCACTTCTTGAGTTGCTGGATCTTTAACATCCAACCGAACAGGCAGATGGGAGCTCGTGTTAACATTTCATCTGAAGGACATTGCCTCGAGCAATGCAACTCCCCCCAGCATTGCCTTGGAGTGTTAACCTGGATAGAATATGTGAGTTCAAAGTCCTGATGTGGGGCTCAAACCCACATTCCCACTTGAGTCAGGTACCAGAGGGCAGCCGATATCCACAGAACTCTACCCCAGCATAAGTGATTTCTTTTCGGAGAGGAAGAGGGGAGATATTTTCCATCCTGGCCCCACAGGAGTCCTGTAGCTCAGTGGTTAGAGCACTCGCTTTGCAAGCAAGAGACCTGAGTTCAATTCCAGGCAGGGTGAAACCTTGGGCAAGTTTCCTTACTCCACACGCCTAATAATAATCCCTCCAAAACAAAAAACAATAATAAATTGGTCATTTTCAATCTACGACTGTTTGTGGGACATTGCTGTGCACAATTGGCTGCCGCGTTCGCCCACAAATATACAGTCAATTCACTTTACAGTGTGTTCTGTGAAGTGCTTTGGGACGTCCTCCTGACGTGAAAAGTGCTATATCAAATGCAAGGATTAAGTTAAATTAAAAAAACTCCAGCTGGCGCAGTGTCAAAAATAAACTTAACCCGTTGCACGTTCCTTGTTTGATGTTATTGCCCACCTGTAATCAGATTCCTGAAACCTCATTAATGTATTTCTTGTCCATCAGCCTGAACCTGATCCACAGATTAACTTGTCCAACTGCACTGCTGCTTCCCAGCAGAGACTTCCGCACCAACCAGCAATCACTCTGCTCTGTCACTCTCATTGCCTGCCGTCTCCTAGATACTGTGGACGCTCACCCATTGCATAACAACTGCCTCACATGCTTTGTGAGGAGCAGGGCACTTCCAGAGAGGTAAAAAGCTTGACAAGCTGGCAGGACTTTTATCATTATTATTCATATTATTTTTTTGCAACCCTCTCGAGACGGTGTTTGTGCGTTTGCTGAATGTGGCTGAGCGCGAGTGCGCCTGTCGAAATGGCAAGGCAAGTTCACGGGTTGGTGCTGTAGTGGCCGCCTGAAGTTTGATGACTACGCCTGACAACCCACATGCACGATGTCTGCCGGTCGAGGCGGGGGAAAACGCACCGAGAAGTCTCCGTTTCCTGTCTCCAGGTATCCATCTCAGAAACAGAATCAGATCAGCGTCAAGGGATCGACAGGAAGAGGCTCGAGCAATGTGCCCGGGCCCAGTAACCAGGCTCTCGTGCCATTCCCATCAGGATTTTCAAAAGGCAAAGTAATGCTGGCCCCAAAAGGTACAGTGAGAAACACTTTTAAGGTTGTGATTCACGTTCTCTATCGTTACAGATTGCTAGAATTTAACATTATAATGTGCTATGCGAATGCAAGTTGTTATAGTATAATAATCCTTGCATTTGATATAATGCCTTATTGCATCATTGAGACGTCTCAGATCGCTTAACAGGATATACTGTATACTGGATTGACTCTATATTTTGTGAGCGGGAAGTAATGAAAGCATTGCTAGTAATATTAATACATAAGTACTGTATATGTACAGTAGTGTGTTTTTTTGTTATATGGATACATTTGCATGAGCCTGGCACAGTCTCTGAATCAGAAGGTTGTGGGTTCAAGCCCCACATCAGGACTTGGAATCACATAGTCTAAGTTGATACTCCACTGCAATCCTGGGGGTGTGTTGCATTGTCGGATGTGCAATATCATATCCTTTCTAGGTGAGAGCAGGCAGGAAATAGGAAATTAATAATAATTTAATAATCCTTGCATTTTATATAATGCCTTATCGTGTCATTGAGACGTCTCAAAGCTCTTCACAGAATATACTGTAAAGTGAATTGACTGTATTTTGTGGACGAAACGCAGGAGCCAATTGCTCACAGCAGTGTCCCATCAACAGCCGTGGATTGAGTGACCAAATTTTTATTTTTAATTTTTTATAAGCGATTATTGCCCTCAGAAAGTGATCTGCCAATCAACTAATAACCGGGTTCCTACTTACTACTAGGTAAACAGAAGCGTGTGTAGTGAGGAACTTGCCTAAGGAACTGAGCCCGAGTCCTCTCGCTTGCGAGGCGAATGCTCTAACCACTATGTTGCAGGACTCCAGAAAATTATGTCTAACGTCAAATTGCCTTTCACAGGTTACACAGTGAAACCCATAATCCCAGCCGATAAAGCGGAGCTCATCTCTGTTGCGAAGGCGATGCACCAAGATCAATTCGGAGCTCGAGTGAAAGAACTTTTTGATCCGGAGAGAGAGGCAGCGCTGGATGCAATTAGGTCAGGTGAGTTTGCTGCAACTTCTGTAAGTGTTCAGGTTAGGTGACTGAAGTTACTGCTCCCATAGTGTGCCCCAGACTCCTGTAATGTGCATAGTATGCAGCCAGTGTTTATAGTAAGAGAGAGGGATTTTAGTCAAAGAGATGGGCGGTTAGTCAGAAAGAGAGGTAGTTAGACTGAAGGGAGGGGTTGTTACACTGCAGAGACAACAACATCTTGTATTTATACAATTCTCTTCATGTAGGATAGCATCTCAGAGAGATGGCCATTGGGAAGTTGTATGTAATGTAGAACGGTGATTTATTGTATCACGAGGCTAACTCAGAGGCAAGATGGATAATGATTTCCCTGAGACAGATGGCTTTTCTCTCCTGTTTCTTACTATTTGTAGATATATTTTCCTCTTCTTTCTTGGTGTCTACACATCCTACATTACTTAGATCCTGAGGTTGCATGTCTTGGCCTGCACACAGCACTCACTGTCTGCACGACCTGCTCAGGAGCTTCTGAAACTAGACAAAGGAGAAATGTGCACAGACTGAGGCAAACTCCTTTGTGAGGCCAGCCTTGGCTTCACACGTTGCCTTATCAAGGTGACATAGCTCAAGATCTAAAAAGGAAGTTAGGAGGAACTTTTTTACACAGAGGGTGGTGATAACGTGTAATTCGCTTCTTGAAGCTATGGTTGAATCAGAAAGCAACAATCTATTTAAGAGAAACTCAATGGATAAATAATGGAGAGGGGAATAGAGAGCTACAGGAGAGGGAATTAGGAATGGTGGAGACAATGTAATTCTATATAAGATATGAGCTATATAAGCCGCAGGTTAATAATAATAATAATAATAATCCTTGCATTTTCACATCTTCGAGATGTCTCAAAGCGCTTCACAGAATATACAGTAAAGTGAATTGACTGTATATCTTGTGGGCGAAACACAGCGGCCAATTGCACACAGTGTGTCCCACCAATGGTCATCGATTGAGTGATCAATTTATTATTATTATTGAAGGAATTATTATCCCCGGAAAAGCCAATCGACTAACAACTGGGTTCCTACTCACTGCTAGGTAAACAGTGGTGTGTGGAGTAAGGAAACTTACCCAACGTTTCGCCCTGCTGGGAATCGAACCCAGGTCTCTTGCTTGCGAGGCGAGTGCTCTAACCAGTGAGCTACAGGACTTCACAATTGACACTCCATGGAGCAGTGTGAGAGATCAGCACACTATACTTCCAGTTTAGCTTCTTCCTTTTACAAGAAAGCTCCTGTTTAATGTGAACCTCCCTGCATTGGAAGCAAGAGCTAGATGGTACCGTTATTTCATGTGAACTAATGTATTGGTGTTTGTGTTACAATGAAAGGAATCTATATTGGATGGAGATCTCCGGAGTACAAATGGGATTGCATCCGGGTTGGAATAAAGTCCAAGTGTTTCTGTGGCCACCTGCTTGCCGAACATGAGCGATTTTCAGGTGAGGGGTAAAGCTATGTATCTGAGCCAAAAACTGCAAACAAAGGCACAATGAGATAATGTATTCCGAAACAAGTACTTCAATGTTTCAGTGGATAGTACATTTTATTTTAAATTGGGTCAGCTGGGTGTCTGACACATGCGAAAATCCATCACCATGCTTAAGAGTAACCCAACCAAGCAGAGATTTCCTTTGCATGCAAATTTTAGAGATAGATTGTTGGAATGAATGCACAATCTCTCCCTGGAGGGAAACATTCTGCTACCTAATTCCAGAAAGTATTAGGCGCAGGTTGGCAAGAGTCAAGACGAAGGCACCGCAGAGGGTGCGTTGAGTCTAATTAGCTTGCAATTGATATTAGAGTTTGGCAATCTTTCCTGCTGTTTGTCCAGCTAGGACCACCCTATCCTTTAGGGCTTTGGCTTGCAGGGTAAACGGGAGCTGAATGGGATGATTCCCTGCCCCCAGTGACTGGTCTGCTCCTCCAAGTCCTGCTGATGAGCCAGGCTGGCTGTGCTGCCATCAGCAGTGGCCTGGAGTACCAAGTCCACCATGAAGAGCTAGTTCGATTCTGTTGCCAGACACGTCACCCTCAATCCAGTTTAGCTCCAAGAAGACCCCGCTTACCTCTCCTTCAAAGGGAATAGTCAGTGGTTCGGTGTTTGACATCTAGCAAGTGTGGGTTTGAGCCCTCAGTAAGTGGATGGTAGGTACCAGGAACTCCCTGCAAGACTCCGCCTCCAGGGAGCTTAGTGACAGGTCAGTGTAGGCCGGAGCCCTCCCTCCCTGCAGCCACTTCCCGTGTTTACCACAATCCACCTCACTGCTTGATCCTGGACTTTGCAAATGGGTCAGAGGAAGCCTTTCTACTGCATCCCCAGGTGCTCGGATCCAAAAGGAGGACTGTTTGCACAGAGATCTTATATGCTGCAAGATTGACCTGCATTGAGATCCTGCTGTCCTTGAAGAGGGACGAGCAGAGTGCCCTTCACCTCTTCTCAGTGCGGTCCTTAAGGACAGTGTCCAGGCTGAAGTTGGTGTCCACCACGACCCCGACGTACCGATATGAGTCAACAATTGGGACTGATGCCCCTTGTATCTTCCAATCATTTCCCTCGATGTGTACTCTTGGGCCATCCAGAACCATGATTCCACACTTGGGGGCGCCTATCGCCATGTCCCACCGGTTGGCCCGGTGTTTAAGATGGCGGGTGCAGCGCAGAAGCTCCCCAGGTGAGTCCATCGTTAGCACAATATCATCAAATATATCAAACAGAAGCCCCGCAAACAGAAGCCCCGCAATCCTGTCAGAAAAGCCTGGAACAGATATACCAAGTCCTTCCCCTTCGATGCCATCCAATACATCATTGATGAACACATCGAATAGGGTGGGTGCAATGGGCAGCCTTACCCACCCGCCTCCCCCACTCTTTCCAGAAGGATGTGCTCAGTGAGTCCACTATTGACCCTTGCATGGTTCTTGAAGCTGGAATACATATTCCGGATAAAATCCAAGATTTGGTCATATACTCCCATGGCTTCCAATTTCATCATGAGGGCCTCATGAGGCACTACTACAACAACAACTTGCATTTATATAGTGCCCTTCACACCAGATGGAGTCTCCGAGTGTTTAACAGTGGGGGAGCCCAATGCCAAGCCGGGGGAGGGGGAAAGTAACCAACAGACTTTGAAGAGAAAGGTGTTCAAGTGCGACCTGAAAATGGGGAGAGAGGAGGTAAGGTGAAGAGATTGAGGGAGAAAGTTCCACAGCTTCTGGGTGTAGTGGCTGAAAGCATGGCCCTGATGGTGAGGTGGAGGTCCAGTGGTCAAGGAGGAAGCCAGAGACATTCGAGCGGAAGCAGTGTGTAGTAGCATAGGGAGGGAACAGGTTGGAGGGATAGGGGTTTGCCAGGTCATGAAGGGATTTAAATACAAGAGTGAGGATCTTGAAATCGATCTGCTCTGTGACAGAAAGCCATTGAAGTTTGACAAGGACTTGGGTATTGGAGGTACGGAGTTTAGTGCAGGTGAGAATGCGGTTGGCAGAGTTTTGAATTAGTTGAATTGTGTGAATAGTGGAGCAGGAGAGACCAGTGATGAGAGCATTTGAATAGCCAAGGCAGGAGGTGACGAAAGCATGGACAAGGGCTTCAGCAGCCTTTGGAGTGAAGTATGGACAGAGGCAGGCAATGTGGCGGAGGTGGAGGAAAGTGGTCCTCGCCAAGGACCGGATGTGGGGTACAAAGGATAGCTGGGAATCGAAACTGATGCCTAAGTTGAAAGCCTTGCGACTTTCTGCGATCTCATACAAAGCCACGAGAACAGAAACCAGCCTTCTCGTTCCTGATCAAACCATGAGCCTCCAGTGCATGTGATACATGTGCAGTGACTTCTCGAAGCACCACTTTAAGAGCCACTGAAATCATAGTTATCTGTAGTTATCGGTCTCACTAGGGTCATCCTTCTTGTGGATAGACCCCACAATTGCACTATGGAACACTGATGGACTGTAAGATCCTCCTCACCGATCTCCATCTCCTCAGAGCTTTTTAGCAGCTTATTGCCCTGTTGAGACATCTCAAAGCCCATCACAGGATTTTACTGCAAAGATTAGTGACTTACTTTTCGCGAAAGTTGCACCCAATTTGAGCATACAGCAACGTCAAACATAAAGCCATGAAGTAGTTGAAAAATTTTAGTTGGGGGATTGTCCACCTGTGAAGACTTTAGCTTGCAGGGTTAACAGGAGACAAATAGGAAGAATCCCATTCTCCCGGTATCCCAGTCTACTCTCCCAAGTCTTGCCGATGAGACAGGTTGGATGATCCAGGAGTACTGCTGACCAACTTGTGTACTGGGCCTCTTGAGATTGCCGCAGAGGGTTGACTCAATGGAGATATTCTGTTGCCAGGCATGTGTGTGACCTTGGAGACAGCTCAGCTCCAATGGGACCCTCCTGCCCAAAGAGAGTAAATCATTGGATCCTAATAAACGCTTCACTACAAGGAAACGTGGTCATGGAAAGAGGAGGCAGTTCAAGTTCATTAGAGTCACAGTCTGTTGATCTGAATTGTGTAAACAACAACAATAAATTATATTTGTATAACATCTTTCATGTCAGGAGGACATCCTAAAGTGCTGGACACTCAAGGATGTGCACCTGAGCTGGGGGTTAAGATCAGGAGAGGTAGAGCACAGGGAGCGTGGGTGTAGGAGGGTGACCGAAGGTGTGGTTGAAGAGGAAGGTCTTGAGATGGACTTTGAAGGAGACAGCAGAGGGAGTGAGGTGAAGGGACTGTGGGATGGAGTTCCAAAGGGTGGGGGCAGAAAGGCTGAAGGCCCGATTTCTGATGGTGGGGCAGGTAGAGCGGGGGACGTAGAGCAGGCCAGAGTGAAATAAAATTACTCTTCCTTTTTACCTTTAAGATTGTAACACAAGTCTTCTATGATCTGATATTATTCCTTCTGATCAGCTCAAAGTGTTCGCGTTCCTTGTGCTGTGAATTTCTGCCAATGCAAGGCTTTTGCATTCGTCCCAGCCCGCCCTGAGGATGTAGGAGAATTCTGGCTGAGAAAAAGACCCAATTTTGATCCAAGGACTTGGAGAGCAAAATGCCGTTGTAAACATTCCCACGAAGAGCATGATCCCTCTGGAAGCCATCACTGCACTATTAGTGGTAAGTTAACAGACAGCAGCAACAAATTACATTTATATAGCGCCTTTCATGTTGGGAGGATGTTCCAAAGTGTTGGACAATTAGGGATTTGGACCTGAGCTGGGGGTTGGCATCAGGAGGGTTGCAGGGCAGGGAGAGTAAGGGTAGGAGGGTAGCCATAGAGTCGAAGAGTAGGGTCTTGAGATACACAAGGACCACTAACGTAAGTGCTATTGCCTTCCTCTTGCTTGCCTGACTGCCATTTTTCTCCCTGTTTTGTGATTATGCTTTCCATATTTGGATTTGGTATCTGTAAAACACAATAGTCCACCTTACGGATGGGAGTGCTGGCGCAGCAACCTGTAGCGAATGGTCAAGTGCTCATTTACCCGTAAGGATTCCCGTTGCCTTTTACAAAAATCTATTATCTGACTCACAACTTTTGTAACTGTGGAGACGTGCTCCACTACACAGAGCGGAACTGCTCTTGGCTCTGCAATAATGGGACAATCTTACTTAAGAGAGTCACAGGTTACACAGTACGACACATTGTCAGCACTAGAAATGTAGCATGGGTGAGGCTGGGCTGGGATACTTGAGGTATTGAGGGGGGAAAGTTGGAGGGATTGAGATAGAGAGTTCCAAAGTTTGGGGGGTAGTGGCTGAAAGCACAAACACCAATGGTTGAGCAGAGGGGATAAGGTGGGTGCATAAGGCAAGACTTTGCAGTTTGCGTATTGAGTTCAACAATGCTAATATTATTTCAAATCGTTATGGTCTTTAAATAGGTTGTCCTTGCTCACAGTTTGAGTCCAACTTCCTTTGTGCTGCTTGTGATAAACACTGGGAACAACATGCAACATTTTTTGATTCAGAGCAATCTAGAAAACAAAATGGACTCCCATATGGTAAGGAAATAGCAATACTAAGCCCACTCTTATTGTGCTCATTATCTGGGGCCACATTGTGGCACTTTGGGTGAATAAATTCAGCTTGAACTAGAGTTGCAAAGGCCAATTTCAGGACGGACATCAGGAATTATTTCTTTTTGAGTGGATAATTAACAATTGAAACAGGTAACCAGGAACGATAATTGAGGCTCAAACCAGATGTTCTGATAAGATGTAGTCAAATCACAACAAAAACAACAACTTGCTTTTATATAGAGCCATTCGTGCAGGGTAGTGTTTCAGAGCACTCAACAGTGACAGAGGAGAAAGATGTTACTTGCAATCAGTAAGTGGACGGCAACAACAAAATTACATTTGTATAGCGCCTTTCACGTCGGGAGGACATCCCAAGGCGCTGTAATAATAAACTGTAGTCCACTTGCTGGCTACAAGTAACATCTTTCCAAACAAGATCTTTTCAGTTTGATGGGTGGTTATTTACCATTTAATTTATCAGGGAAAAATGTGATCAAGCATATTTAGAAAATGCCAACAAACACATTATTGTAATATTTCATTAATTCTCTTACAACTCCCATGATATTTCTCTGGGAACCTTTGGGTAGAAATTCCACCTGGGTCTTGATTTTCAAACTCTTATCTTCTTGGCATTTCAGAACGTCCAGAATTCTTAAATGCAGACTTAATTTTGAAGCTTATTTTCTGTAACTTCTTTATGGATTTTACAGAATGCCACCGCTGTGTGCAAAGTGGCTGTTGCATTCCCTTACAAAATACGCAGTCAATGCACTTCACAGTGAATCCTGTGAAACGCTTTAAGCCATCCTCCTGATATGATCGGTGCTACATCAAACGCTAAGATTATTAAAAACATCTTCAAAGATAAGGCTGAACTCAAATTCTGGATACATTGAAACAATAAAAAAAATCTAGATCCGGGTGAAATTTCAATCCAGTATTCATATTTGTATACTATTTGCTTCTGATCATCTGTTCCCTACTGGAATCTCTGATCCCACAGCTGTGCGCAATTGGCTACCATGTTTCGCCCACAAAATACATGGTCAATCTACTTTAAAATATATACTGCTTTGAGACATCTCAACGATGTGATACGGTGCTATATCAAATGCAAGGATTATTATTATAATTATTATTATCATCATCAACCCAACGCGCAGCTTGGGTGCAAACCCCTTATTACCCAGTACCTCGGGATGTCCTCCCAACTTGAAAGACGCTATATAAATGCAATTTGTTGTTTGTAGTTGTTATTGTTGTTGGAATGATTTCTCCTGTTATTGAAATGTACAAATCATATGGTTTTAGGTGAGGCCTACTTGCCCTTTGCAGAGATGACCAATTTACGGAATGCAGTGCTGACAGGTAATGAAGAAGATGAATCAGAGTTCATAAACATCACAGAAGGACCTGGAGCTTTTGTTCAAAGGATTTTTCCATCGTCCAATACAGATACCTCTTCTTCAGCTGTAGTCGCAAACCCCATGGGGACTTTGAAACGTCAGTAATTAACACTTAGAGAGTCTGAATTAAACTTGCTAGAAACTAGTTTATTTTTCATTATTTGGTCCATTTCATTGGAGGCCACAATTCATGGCAGGTGTTTAAAGGGTGTTGTCTTTGTGAGAGGATTTGGAAAATCTTTCCTTGTTCCTGCTCAGGTGGCCTGGCTTTCAGCCACTACGCCCCAAAGCTTTGGAACTCTCTCCCTCAATCCCTCTGTCTTGTTCCCTCCTTCCCCTCTTTTAGATCCCAATCGAAGACCTTCTTCTTTGACCATGCTAATGGTTATTACCCCCCTTCCCCCTCCTCCCGGCTCGGCATCGTGCTCCAAGACACTGTCCGCATGAAGGGCGTTATATAAATGCAAGTTATTGCTGTAATTTGGGAATGGAATACAAGAGTATTGCAGCATTATTGTCACAGTAACATCACACACTTTATATTATTGGACTTTATGAGGGAAAAATACTTTTTTTTGAGAGGGGTACTTGAACATACACAGTTGCTTCAGCATCTGAACTAATTGCTGCATATTGAGCCCCCAAAGTAACTGGGAAATCCCTTGGATACATCAGGAATTTTTATATACTGGCGGGCAATTTCAGGACAGATACCAGCAAGACATTCCTTACACAGTGGGCAATTAACCACTGAAAGGGTTACCAGAAAGGATGGAAAAGACGAGGCAACTGGATTCATTTAAAAACAAGCTGGAAGACATTAAAAACCATTTGCCTTAGTGAGGCATCACAAACAGCCATGTACCATATGCATACTGGGAAGTGATAAAGAATTATATTTTCAGAGGCCGCTATCATATCAAAGGACCCTTTACAGTCAGTTTTACTGTATAGCAAAGTCCCACAAACAACTATGAAGGTGAACGATAAACTAATCTGGAGGATTGCTGGACAAGACACGGGGGACAAACCACTTTGTCCTTTTGAACAGTGTCATACGATACAACAACAACAATTTTACATTTATATATAAACACCTTTCACATTCAGAGGATGTCTCCATTCGCTTAACAGAGCTGATTGGGAGCCAGACGTGGGGGTGGAAGAATCCTTTGGGGGGGTGACCAAAAGCCCAGTTGAATGGAAAGGTCTTAAGGTGGGTTTTAATAATAATAATAATCCTTGCATTTGATATAGCGCTTTTCACGTCGGGAGGACGTCCCAAAGCGCTTCACAGAACACACTGTAAAGTGAATTGACTGTATATTTGTGGGCGAACGCAGCAGCCAATTGCGCACAGCAATGTCCCACAAACAGTCGTAGATTGAAAATGACCAATTTATTATTGTTTTTTGTTTTGGAGGGATTATTATTAGGCGTGTGGAGTAAGGAAACTTGCCCAAGGTTTCGCCCTGACCTGCCGGGGATTGAACCCAGGTGTCTCACTTGCAAAGCGAGTGCTCTAACCACTGAGCTACAGGACTCTACAAGTGGGATGGGGAGGGCTGAGGGTCAGGGACTCCAGGATGAAGTTCCAAGATCATTATTATTAATAATAATAATCCTTGCATTTGGAATAGTACCTTTCACGTCTGGCAGGAGGACGTATAAAAGAGCTTCACAGAATGTGCTGTGAAGTGGAGTGACTGTATTTTGTAGGTGAACATCATATAATAATCCTTGCATTTGATATAGCAAGAGCGAAAGAGCGAAACCTTAGGCAAGTTTCCTTACTCCACACGTCTCTGTTTACCCAGCAGTAAGTAAGAACTTGGTTGTTAGTCGATTGGCTGATCGCTTTCCGGGAGTAATAATCCCTTTTAAAAAATAATAATTTGGTCACTCAATCCACCATGGTTTGTGGAATACTGTTGTGCACACTTTACAATATATTCTGTGAAGCGGTTTGAGACGTCTCAACGACGTGAATAGGCGCAATATCAAATGCAAGGATTATTATAATATAGCACCTTATGTCGTTGAGTCGTCTTAAAGCACTTCACAGAATATACTGTAAAGGGAGATCATCCCAGTCTACATAGACAGCCACGTTTTGAATAAGTTTTTATATATGTATAAAAATATAATATATATTTCTCCATTGGGTGCAATCTAAATGCATTAGCACAGAACAAACACTTTCTGTTTCCCATTTCTTATATAAAATATAGATCTTATTAAACATTTAAATTGAAACGATTCTGTACAGGAGATACAACCCTGTGTTTGGCATTCCTATGGCAACAACTCCTGACACTTTGAAAGGCTGGAGAGAGAGATAGAGGGAGAGTGTGTGTTGGTTACTTGTTTCCTGGTTAAAAATAATATTAATAATATTTGATATAATACCTTATCACGTCATTGGGACATCTCAAAGCGCTTCACAGAATATATTGTAAAGTGAATTGACTTTAAAAGATATATTTTTATTATTATTATTATATATTTTTTTAAAAAAATATTGTAAATATTCGCGGGAGAAACAAAAATCTTTTGTTAAGTTACATCCAGGCTGATCTACCTGGCTCCGACCTCCACCTGATCACAGGGCCTGTTGATTGTTTGTATCTCTGTGGAACCACTTGCTGGTGTGCCCTGTGAGAGCTCCCTGTGAGTGGACAGTGTCAGTGTTTACCTGCTGGGGACGTGCTGGATAGAGCGCATGTAGGAAAGTCTCTCTGTGTCAGTCGCCGATTGCTGGGGGCCGTTTGTCTGGCTCAGTGCGTTGCTGGAGATGGCAAAGCAATTCCCACCGAAGATCAGCTCAATACTAATGACTCCGGATCCTCACTACATCCCCGGGTAAGCGAGATCGTCCCAGTCTAGCTAGAGAGCCACGTTTCGAATACGTTTATATATATGTATATATATATAAAAAATACATATAATATATATCTCTGTATATTTACTGCCTTGTGCAATGTATTGAGTGCAATCTGTACGCTCCGGCACACAGCAAACACCTTCCATTTCCCATTTTGTATATAAAAAAAAGAAATGTGTCTTTTCTTATTCCAACATTTAAAGGTTAAAACGATTCTGCTCAGTCTACTCAGATACAACGCTGTGTTTGGCTTTCCCATGGCAACAACTCCTGACACTTTGAAAGACTGCAGAGAGAGAGGGAGAGGGAGAATGTGTGTTCGTTACTTGGTTCATTGTTAAAAATAATATTATCAATAATAATAATCCTTGCATTTGACATAGCGCCTTATTCATGTCTCAAGTGCTTCACAGGATACACTGTAAAGTAGATTGACTTTAAAAAATCTGTTTAAAAACATTGTAAGTATATTAGGGGTGTAAATATATGAATTAAATATATTAGTGGTGTAAATATATTAATTAACTATATTAATGGTGTAAATGTATTAATTAAATATATTAATTCACAATATATTTTTTTAAAATTAAAATATATATTTAAATAAATGTATTGTAAAGTGGACTGACTTCAAAAAAAACTTAAAAAGGATCCAACAAGTGTTGTAAACAAAAGGATCAAACAGGGCATATCATCACTCTGGAACTTTCTCACTTAAAAAGTTCTGGAATTTACCTTTAGTCCTCTAAGCTTTATCACGGAAATTTGCTTCTCTCAAAAAAAACATTTCATTTACCTCAGATGTGAGTCTCGGCAGTCAATGCTGATAGGCTATTTTATAAGCGGGGGTGAAATCACATTACACCTATCTAACTTCCTTAATTTTCCTTAGAGCTTAAATAACAAATAGCTAATCACCTCTATTTCTCGAGTGCAATAATATATTTCCTTACGATTAAGTGACAAGACCCAGTAGTTAAGATGGGGATTGACTGATGCTTTCTGGGACAATAATAAATAATCATAATCCTAACATTTGATATAGTGCCTTTTCTCAATATTGAGTCGTCTCAAAGACCTTCACAGAATATACGGTATAATGAATTGACAGTATATTTTGTGGATGAAACGCATCAGCCAATTGCACACAGCAGTGTCCCACAAACAGTTGTGGATTGAGTGACCAAACAACTGTTTTGTGCTGTTCCTCTCTGCTCCCTCGTTGGTGAATGTTATATCTATATTATTGAAGGTAACTCTTCTTCAGTCCAGTTAGCTAAAGTTGTATTGGATTCCATGATCTTCAACTAAATATTCAAGTTACTTTTATGAAGAATAATGGCTGCCCTGTTCCTGGGACATCTCTTTAGGTACGGAGGCTATTGTCCTCAGTATAAGTACAGTGTGGGGCAATCCTATGGCAAGTTGACCTCTAAGCTGCTGACAGATCCTGGGATAGCACGTTCTGGCCGATTAATTCTTCAGCCAACCCACTTACCAGCTCCCAGCATTGATGAGGGAACGAACCATCAGCTCCGGAGTTGTAAAGTCAGCTGGGCAGACCAGAAACTGAATGACGTAATGATCCCCGGATACACAGGTTGGTTTATTGATTCCAACTTTGGAAGGGGGAAAAAGGGGAAATGTTGACACATTGGTTTAACATTTCAACCAGAGGATGGCACTTTTCATGGCACTGCTCCTCTGGTACTGCAAAGGGTTAATTAAATTTGTGACCCTGTGGTGAAGTATCAACTGACACAAATTTCCTCTTAAATAGTAAAATTTAATACAAGACAAGCAAATAAATGCATATCAAAGTTATACATTTCATCAAATCAAATTAATGCTTATGACAGGTTATTAAAGTTCACCGCAATGGGTTAATCGTATCAATACAATGGCTTTGATGGAGGAATCGGTTTGTTAATGTGCATCGATCCATGTTGATTGGAGTAGATCCCTCTTTCTTCGAGATTGGTTGCAATTAGCCAATGCATTCTCTCTTCTCCCGGTACGTACTTAAGTCCTGACATCAGAGCTTGACCCACACCTTTCCAATCCAGAGGTGAGCGTTAACCACTGAGCTAAGTTGACAAAGTGCGTTTGCTATCACACACCTATAATGTTGCAAAGGTAAGACCGTTTCCTCTGTGCAGGATTCATTCCCAACATGGAACACTATTTTTCGAAAACCTACACGAAAACCTGCAAAGATGCAATCAGGCAGTTTGAGAGAGAACAACTCAAGATTGCTACCAAGAAACGGGAGCTGGAACTCATCACCTCACTGCAGTCTGGGAACCGCAAAGCAAGAACAGAGCAAGAAAAAAAAGTAACTGTATCTGTGCTACTTTTTTGTCCAGAATATGTTTATAATAAGCTAATAGTAATATGTTTGGTCCTACGAGCTGCAGATCTGGCTGGTTCACCTTCATTTGCCTCTTGGCTCTTGGCTACAAATGACTTATTTACAAGTTGTCAGTTTGCTGCCAATGTCACTTTCTGTGCACATTGTATGGGAAGTGACATAGAAGGTGACCTGATGACCCAGAAGTCAATATGGCTGCACTGTAGATGCTCGAAAAGTACTTGTGCTGTGGAGAAAAGGCAGAAAAATAGAATTTGGAAAAATAAAGAGCTGCCACAAACTAATAAAATGACGTAGTGGGATTAATGGATCAAATAGCCTATCCCTGTTCCCATGTTCTTAACAAATACACGGCCACTTCATTTCACAGTCAATCCTGTGAAACGCTTTGAGACGTGCTTTCGACGTAATAAGGCGCTATGCCAATTGCAGGGATTATTATGATTATTATTGATATGATTAAATTGTGTCATTCTCAGGTGTAAAGGAATGATTGAAATGCATTGTGATTGGTACAGGAGTACAAACACATTTGCACAGCACCTGTGGTTGTAGTTTTTGACTGTAATTTATGAGGGTTGGGCTCTCCTCAGTCCAGTACTCTTATACTAGTTTTTAATCTGTATTAAATATTTCCCTCTTTCCTTTCAGCTTCTAACAGTCAGGTGCAGCATGCCTCTCAGACCCACGGGAACAAGCATTCCTCCTTACAACTCACCTTATTCCTACAAAGCTCTGGGCTCTCCGTACCTAATGGCAAATGAAAACCCCCACAAACACTTTATCTCAGGTGAGACTGAGAGATCAAGGTTAATTTTGAATATAATATAGCTTACTACTATTGTTGGTCTATCTTTGTTTGAGCTCTAATTGGATCGAATGGCCTGTTTCCATGTAGTATCACTCTATGTAAGGCAGCATTATATATTTGTTGAGTTATTGGTCTCTCAAATAAAATCGGTCACTCATTCCATGGCTGTTTGCAGGACACTGCTCTACGCAACTGGCTGCCACGCTTTACCCACAAAGTACGCAGTCAATCCACTTTACGGGATATCCTGTGAAGCGCTTTGAGCCGTCTCAATGACATGATCAAATTCAAGGATTCTAATAATAATCCTTCATTTGATATAGCGCCTTATCATGTCTTCGAGACGTCTCAAAGCGCTTCACAGAATACTGTAAAGTGAATTGACTGTATATTTGTGGGCGAAACGCGGCAGCCAATTGCACACAGCAGTGTCCACAAACAGTCGTGGATTGAAAATGACCAATTTATTATTGTTTTATTTTGGAGGGATTATTATTAGGCGTGTGGAGTAAGGAAACTTGCCCAAGGTTTCGCCCTGCCTGGAATTGAACCCAGGTGTCTCGTTTGCAAAGCGAGTGCTCTAACTGCTGAGCTACAGGACTCCACTGGATAGACATGTAGGTTTGTGTCGTCACAAATTGTGAAGATGTGTCACCATAGGAAGCACTAAGCTAAGCCCACGCTTTGATTTGTCCTGTTAAACTCAGGCACATACCTTAGGAGCACCTTCTCTGGCTCCTTTTAAAGGTATTTTCTAACCCTCATGTCAGAAATTCTCCAACACCTGCCTATCAGAGACTTGATAGTATATCTTCCCGCTTCCAGCAAGGATGTCAGTATCGGCAATAAAATACATCCCTGCTCTCACCTCACAGAGCTGTAGCTTTATGTTTGCATGGAAAATCAATTTGACTAATTAAACATTTGCCAGCCCTTCCATCACTTAAATAGGTATTATAATAATACTTGGATTTTATATGGTGCCTTTCATGTAGGAAGGATGACTCAAAACACTTCACAGGTTCACTGTAGAGAGTAGTGCCCCGGGATCCATTACTGTGAAGCGATCTGAGACGTTGTCTGGCATGGAGGGCGCTACATAAATCCAAGTTGTTGTTGTTGTAGTGAGTGGCTACTTGTTGGCAAATGTGGCAGTCAGTTTTGCACACAGTAATGTTCCCCAAACAACCATGGATGAATATTTTTTATCTAGCGATTGTTGGTCAGGACACCAGTAGAAACTGCCTTCTCTTTTTGAATAGTTTGAGTATTTGGTTCCGCCCCCTATTTTGTTTTGATTTCCTGAACCCATGTTACCTTTTCACTTCAAAGCTATCCTTTCCACGATGAATAATTTACACCAAGTACCTGAATGCCTGATTGTTTGCTGACATGCATTTAGAAAATGAGCCTTGGAAACTATACTCTGTGCTAACTCACGAAATGAATTTGTTTCTCACCATTTCTGACTACGTTCAACAAGGCTGCACTGAGTAATCTAGAATGTCTGAAGGGCTTTTTTCCAAGCCTACATAATTTGTGGTGTAAAATCTTCTGCTTCAACGAATGAAGGAAAGAGTAGAGAAAGGCACAAAGCAAGCAATAATAATATAATAATAATCTTTGCATTTGATATAATGTCTTATCATAACATTGAAACATCTCAAAGAGGTTCACAGGATTTTATTGACTATGTATTTGTAGGCAAACACTGTAGCTAATGTGCACACAGCAATACCCCAGAAACCGCCATGAAGTGAATGACCAATTTCATCTAGAGGACTATTGACCTGGAAACCGGAGAAAACCCTTTCATTTCTCCAAGAACAGTAGTGACATTAAACCTTTAACGTCCACCTGAACAGGCAGATGGGTCCTCAGTTTTAGGGTCTCATCTGAAGGACACCTTTTACAATGCAGCACACTCCCAGCATTGTATTGAAGTGACGCTCTGGACCGTAAATAATTTACTTGGTGATACCGTCACCAGGTACTGTATATTTGTGGAACTCAAACGTATTCCAAAAATAAATAATTTGTCCACGACAAATTGCACTTATATAGCGCTTTTCATGTTGGAAGAAAGTCCCAAGTTGCTGGAAACAATAGAATAAGAGAAATTTACCTCTCCTTTTGGCCTATCAATTCTATGTTGGTTATCTGAAAAATGCATCCATTTACTCCCAATCCTCTGTCCTTTCCCCATTTTATATTTTTTCCTTTTCAAATACAGTGGAAGCCACTTTAACTGGACTCTTCAGCTGGATGCTGGGTAAACTGGACAAAATACCCGGCCCCGATACATTTGAACTCTTACGTGTTTTAAATATATCTGTCAATTCGGACAAAGTTCCAGTTGATCGGGACAAAATGCTGCGTTGGTCCTCACTACATCAACTCACTCAGCCTTCTGTGTCTCAAGCAGTTCCAGAATGGAGATGGAAGAAGTCAAATTGCGATTGACTGACACCGGACTCCAACCATTCATAAGCGGCTCTGGGCTGTCAATCAATGAGAGATCGGAGGAACAGGGAAGAAACAAGGGAGGGAATGGGAGGAGTCAAATTATGATTGATTGACAGCTGGAGCCGCTGGTGAATGGGTGGAGTGCCCACCGCTAAATGGTCCCTTTCCCATCCAATGGGAACGGCAATGGGAGGGAGGAGGCGCCTTCCTCTGCTCCTTTGCTGGACGGAAAGGGAACTGTGATTGCTCCGGACGCCACTTAAGCCGGACAAAACAGCCGGCTCCAACGTATCCACCTTAAGTGGCTTCCACTGTAAATATTATTATTATTATTATTAAATATGTCTAATTTCTTATCAAATGCAATCATGGATTCTGCTTCATCCACTGTTTTTGATGGAGAGTCCTAACAACGCCGTGTGTAAATCAAATTCTGGTATCAACCAGATACCAGGAAGCTTTTCTTTAAGCAGGGCTTAATTAACAACTGGACAGGACACTGGACTCATTTAAAAAGCAGCTTGATGCAGCGATGGGATGGCGGTAGGGTGGGTGGATCAGATGGTGAAGGGCCTTTCTTCATCGTTTTGTGATTTTTTAATTTTGTTTTACTGATTTTACATGTATATCAACTGCTCACTAATTCGCTGGTGACTGGAAATAGTTTCTCCTCATTTATTATTTACTATTATTATTTACCTTATCACACACCCTCAAAAGTTTGATTACCAAAATGTCAGTGGAGTGATATTCAGAGGACTCTGACCCCCTGCGTGTCCCCCCCCGCGCGCCACACCATCAGCGGTCGGGTCTTCAGCCTTTCATCCTTTGGAACTCAATCCCACAGTCCATTCACCTCGCCCCCTCTGTTCCCTCCTTCAGTGCCTCCTCTTTGACCGTGCCTTTGGTCAGCCTCCTGCCCTCCACCCCTCCTGACCACAATCCCCAGCTCGAGTCCAAATTCTTGACTGTCCAGCAACTTGGGATGCCTCCCAACATGAAAGGTGCTATTACAAATATATTTGTTTGTTGTTACGGGGTCTTTATACAAACAAATTGGGATTTTTTGTAATAAGCAAATCATATGTTGAGTATTTACATGGCCTGTGCAGTTGTTTCACAAGCGCCAAGAAACTAAGTCCACTGTTTCTCACAGGATACAGAGGGTTTGTTCCACGTGCACAGTTTCTGTTTGGCGCTGGCTACCCCATTATCACCAACAAAGCTCTGATCGAGTTCAGTCGGGTGCTTAATAGATCAAAGACTTCACCAGTTCCTGTTGGAAACTCTTTGAAAGAAGGTGAAGGCCTACCGAGGATCAAGTCTGCCTGTCCCCTGACTGGGATGTGCTGCCCCACTATTCAGTCTATGCACCAGGTAAGATGTTCCTGAGTTGTTTTGTGTTATAAAGATACATGATACATGGATGTTTCAGTAATATGGGTCTTCCACATCAGCAGCTGTTTTATTTTGTATAATTGGCCTCTTTCCCAACCCTACCCTCACCCTCTTCCCACACACAGAGTTTAGGAGTCCCATTAAACACTTGTACATTTACATTAGTAGTACAGAATAGGATACTAATAAATTAAGAGTGCCTTTGGATATCTTGACATGAAAAACGCTACATTAATGTAAATTTTAATTTGTATTTTAAGCACTCCGAGACGTTAACCTGCATGAAGGGCTCTATATAAATGCAAATTGTTGTTATAAAATGGATTACATGCCAACATCCACCATGATAGGTATCACTGCTCCACTGAAGATAATTCATCAACTCACAAGATGCACATTGAGAGAGATGAGGTCAACAGACATTTGTGCTCTGTCAGATGGGCTGAGGCTTGTCTTGTCTGAAATGAATTCAAAACAAGACTAAACTTCTAGTGCTGACACAATGCAATCAATACCTGAACCCTGTTCTCTGCAAGAAACTGCCCAAAACAGGGAGATCATCAATCGTAGTGGAAGCAGTAAAACAGTATTGCACCTTGATATTGGTTTGAGTTAACATTTGTTCACTTATTTCCCTCTTCCTCTCCTGAGGGAAATGACTGGGATACAATTCCACATATTATATCCCCCCCCAACTCCAAATGGTCATTCTTCATAGTTAGGTCTATAGACAGACAGTGGCAATTGAGGCAAGCTTATACACAGCATCCACACCCAGGCATTTTCCACTAAGTGGTGATCAGTAAGTGGCAGAAAACGCTGGCTGATTTTCTGATCTGTAGCCAAAGGGTACTGAGATCAATTGCAGGACCTTAACTGCTGTCCCAGTTATATAGAATGATACATCACACAAACAGATCTTACAGCCCAATGACTTTGTACTAATGTTTATAAGTCACAAAAGCTCCCTTCCCTCCTATTCCCCACTCTTCGTGTATGCACATTAAGATCATTGTAACTCAATAGAGATTAGACTGTTTGTGGGACACTGCTGTGTGCAATTGGCTGCCGCGTTTTGCCCACAAATATAGTCAATTCACTTTACAGTCTATTCTGTGAAGCGCTTTGAGATGTCTAGAAGATGTGAAAAGTGCTATATCAAATGCAAGGATTATTATTATTATATTATTATTATAGGGAACTGAACCTTCTGAATCTATTTGACAACCCACTATAGCCACTGACTTGACTAAAAGCTATTGGAGAAGGATTGGCGAATGTGAGAGGGTTTCCTCCCTCACTCAAAGTGGTGAAATGGTTCCACAGATACCAGCAAGCCTTAAGAACCTTGCCAAGCATTATTTTATGCAGTATTGCAATACTAGACTACAGAATATAAAAAAAACATGTAATGAAGTTAACAACATTCTGTTAATGTTCTTTTATTTACAGAAACCAAGTTTCAATTTGGGCACAGCTAGAAAGACCATAAGCGCAACACACTGACCACAAGTACCAACGAGACAAACCGCTTGATCACTTCTTGATCACTTGATCACTTCTCACTCAGCTATCAAGCACTAGGAGCTTATGAAGATTCAGTATTTTTACAATTCACAATTAATTAGACTGCTTTATGATTTTGCAGGCGTTTTATGTGTAAAGAAAATGCACAAACAAGGAATGTGAAGGTAATGTTTGTTGTAAATGTGATTTAAATAGGCTGACAGAAAAATAAACTAACTGGAATTTAAATCGCACAAGGTGACTGACCTACAAGCAATACAGACAGGCTGCCACATTTGCCTAGAAATACACATTCATTACACTTTACAGTGATCCTATGCGAAAGGAGTTACATAACATGCAAGGATTATTATTATTAAATTATTAATATTATTAAATCAAATACCTACATAAGTAATGAAAGGGCTGGCAAATGTTGGAGGGTTTCCTCTCTCTCCTGAGAGTAGAAGACTCATGTTGGGGAATGGTTCCCACAAGTACTAACAAACCTCGAAGAATCTCTGTCAAGTTGCCAGCTGTTCAATCACAGAGATGCAATTGATCCAAGTTAGATATTCTCTACATCCAACACGCCACTTTGAATAATTGCACTACTTATTTCTGTCATGGTGAGGTGAGCTAACTGAAAAGGCAGGGCAATGGAACCTGGCACCCTCAGGGTACGCATCACATTTATTTTAAAGAGCTCAAATATAGGACTTCATAAATTATTAAAGGTGTTGGTGTTAGTAACATCTATAGAAAAAAGTATTAAAAATTCCTCAGAAGCAAGTGCTTAAAGTTTTCCTGCAAATGGTTTAATTGGAGCATTATTCTTTTTATGGTAAATAAATTTGAATTTTGGAGTTTATTTCTATAATTTAAAAAGTTACAAGGCTGTAACTGAACTTTAAAGTACTTGATGAAATTTGTGGAAACCAGATAGTTTGAGCTTTTTACAAAGTTCCAAAAAGAAATACAAACTGCGGTTTAGAATTTTCTTTTAGACAAAATTATACAAATGTTGTTGTAATCTGGGGGTTTTGAGAAGTAGAGACACACTATTTTCTCAGGTTGGTGTAGATAGAGGGCATAAATTTAAGATTGCCAAAAAATTTGATTTTTTTTTGAAACAGGATTTATTAGGATATATAATGCTGTACCAAAAGCAGTTGATGCGGAATCCAGAACAGATTTTAAAAGGAAATTAGACATATTTGAAAAAGGAATATATAGACTTTAATGTGCGCTTTTGGACATCTTCACCCCAAGCTCGGGTGCAAACCTTAGACGGTCCAATGCCTTGGGTCATCCTCCCGATTTGAAAGGCTTTATATAAATGTAAGTGTGTATTGTTTTGTAATAATCCTCATTTGATTAAGAGTATGGGGAGATGGCAGGGGGATTGGGACTAAATGGACAGCTCTGAGACCTGGCATGGGCTGTGCTGTAATTCCGGAAACCAGTTGTCTAATTGAAACTTCCACAAAGCAGAACGGTATTGCAATGATTACCAGCAAGGCAAGGCAAGGCAAAACTGTGGATTGTGGAGTAATTATGTGCAAAAGATGGATAATAATACAAATATTCACTACCTTTGTGAACGATTTATTCAAAACATAGTTATAAAAGATTTTAGAATTTACATACAGCAAAACAATAATTACCCAACTTGAGCAGCAAAGTATATTACAGCACTTTTCCAAAACCAACATAAACATACTCATGACAATGTCCTGGCAAAATCCATCTTCAGCAGCTCCAGTATCACCTGGAAATTAAGACTCATCATTAAACACATAAACTGCGCTTAAAAGCAAGAACGTTACTCCTTGCTTTTGCTGTTTATTTCAACCATGGCATTCAGCAATAATCACGTTAGCAATTAAAATGTTTCAAAACTATTGTATCCAGCCTAACAGCAGGGAAGCGCCCTAGACTAAAAACGGTTGTTATATAGTGCAAGGGAAACATGACTAAAAAGATCAGGGCTAAATTCAAAACATCAGTAGCCTTGGGGGAAATAAAATATCTGAACTTATATTCCAATAAACAGCTAAATACCTGTAACTGATGATACAGATCCAATAACATTGTTGTTCATATATTCAGCAGATGCAAGTTACTGGGTGCTTTTAACTTGGAGTGCACTGTACTTCTATACAGTATGTTTACAAAAGCCAAGGAACTTTGGTAATTATATGCTGATACACACAAGATATTCACATACTAAACATCTGACAAGCAGGCAAAAATGTCAACATTTTGACAAGCCATAGATTTGCTTTCCCCGACAAGCCTCAATTTGTTTTAGGTTTTCAATCCAGGGGCTCGTCAGCTCATGTTCAGACACATTCACGGATAATACCGGTCATCGAGTCCTGATGAAGCATCATTTCTCAGTGTATTCCATTTGTAAGTTTGCCCCTGTATCTACATGATGTCCCTGCCATTTATAGGGTAGGACAACCTGAAACGTCATTGCACTTGCAACCAGAAGAAATACTTTATTCCAACACCCAAGCACAAATAGGTCCACTTGACATCTCTGACCCAGATTACCCATAGCCCCAGGTGAATGGTTCCTGTTGAGTAAAACGCTGCCTGTATCACAGAAGTTATTCACATCCTACAGTGTATACATTTTGGTTTACAGCACTGTGCATTCAAGGCTCTAGGTAAATTCATTTAATGAAGATTCTGGACTTGGTATCACTGCAAAACAGGCGGAAATTTTCAAAAATTAGCATTTATAAAAATTCCCTTCTCAGCTTTCAGGAGACGGAAATTATCACCCACAGCTATCTGTGCACTACAAAGACAATGAGATGGGCTGTGTGCTGAGTACTAAAAACAGCGATCACCATTGCGTTAATGGGACGTCCCATTAAAGACTGTTTAAGTGATTGCCTTATGATAGCCTCATGTCCATGGTTCACTCTGAAGGGAGCAGATTGAGGACAAATCATAACAAACATAGATCCAGTATAAATTTAAAATCAAGAGCTCCTTTTCTGTAAGTATAGACACCAGAGAGCACACTGAATGTGGCAAATGCAATATTGGATGTCAAAGCTGCACTTAGTTATCACGTGCTTTTTTAGAAAAAAAGTGTAACTCGGCTTAAGTTAAACATTCTGCACTAAGTACAATGGACGTTGTGAGCTACAGTACTTGGAGTTAGTACAGGACATAGGGTCCATACTGGGTACAATGAGGCCAACAGGCGCATCATGCAGTGCAGAGGAAAATTACATTTGATCCATTTAACTAACCTGAACCTGCCCCTGTGGATCCCAACAGTTCAAACACAGTAAAGTAATATACCTCATGAGGAGCCAGCCAACCCAGGGTGCTTTCAGCAGGAAATAAAGTGGAGCAGCACACCCAGCAGAGATAGCATATGGAATGAGTTTCTAAGTCAAGTTTAGAATCCGGCAAAGCGATGCTGAATAATTTGTTGTATGTTTTGATTTAGTATAATGTTGATTTTTCAGTCAACACTCGGGTCACAAATGTAAAGGTGTACAATTTATGACCGAGTTTTACAAAGTGAATAGCATCATATCCAACTTAACATCCACTCCCAACTAACTGGAGCTGGAACACCTCAGACATCAACCCATATGGTACACGGTGAAGACGTTCACTCATGTAGCTCCTTAATACTCTAAAAACAAAACAAGGAAGACACCTGCTACAGAACATCACTGATCAGTTACATTTCGTCGGAGCGTGGGTGGGTTTTAATGATCACGGTAGTGGAATGCTCGGTCCAGTTTGGCTTGTTCACCACTGTTGCCGATGCACCGAAGCCCACCTTCTCGTTTATGGAAGCCATCCTTTCCAGGCTCACATCATCTTGGATGGGAGCTTTTACCACTCCATCGGTATCAGAGGAGAAATTACTGCTTAATGTTGCAGCAGAGGTCGTCTTTGCTAAGTTTGCTGTCTCGGGTGTGCTGTTCTGTCCTCCTGACAAGATGCTTTCCGGAACCTCTTGACCCAATGCCAGTTTCTCTTCTATTGTCTCCGGGTTAATATCCAGATCAGCATTGTAGTCATTTGGGATGATCCGTACTTGGGATGACTCAGTGTCGAGCAGAGTGCGGGAAAGTACTGTGAAGTACAAATAGAAACAAGTGTCACAGTGTATACTTACACAGCACCACGCAATTGTGAATAGCTAGTGTAAAGCAATTTGTACTGAAAATAAAAGGTGGACAATTGTAACTGCAACAGATGGGTGGTAGCACTCAAATGCAAAGTTGCTTAGTCACTGCTAGGCTTGGATCAATGTGAGAGAATAAAGTGGATGCCAATCTCAGTTGCTGAATAGTGGGGTCCTCCATCATACTCCAGGCCTCTCCACTTGATCTGAAATGTCTCACTCCTAAGGGGAGGAGGGCACCAGAATGAGTGCTAACTGACGTATAAAAAAAGGGAAAGTATTAACCCACAATATCCTTCTGAATTAGAAATGTATTATTCCAGTTCTACAATCAGAAGTTATGTAGATAATATGAACTACCTACAATAGTAGGATTGTAAAATGTTTTACAAATTGCACCTTTTGCAGTTTTCAAGTCTGAAATTTAGAACAGTGATTTGTTCACCAGCAAACAAAATTTCTCATCCATTCCATTGGCTGTTTGATGGACGTTGCAGTGTCCAAACTATCTGTTACATTTGCAGTTGAAATGCAGTCAACTGACTTTGTAGTGTATCCTGTAAAGAGCTTTGAAACTTCCTGACCTGAAAGGCGCTATATCAAATACAAGGATAATTAATAATAAACTGAAGAGTGGCAAACGTTATGGATGCTGCACTTCCCCATCTCTCTTCTTTGTTGTAAAAGATTTATTTTCATAAAAAGGATAAGTGTATAACAGTAAAACTTGCATTAATATGATACCTAATCACGTCATTGAGATGTCTCAAAGTGCTTCACAGATAAAGTGGATTCACTGCGTATTTTGTGGGCGAAATGTGGCAGCCAGTCGTACACAGCAGCGTCCCACAAACAGTCATGGATCAAGTGACTTCTTTTTGGTGGGGTTATCACCTCCGAAAAAGTGATTTGCCTATCGACTAACAATCGGGTTCCTACTTACTGTTATGTAAACAGAGGCGTGTGGAGTAAGGAAACTTGCCTAAGGTTTTGCCCTGCCTGGGAATCAACCCAGGTTCTCTTGCTTGCACACTATATTGTACTTCTTTCTCAATAGTAAACTACTTCATGTACTAGAATACGAGAGTATATGACTCTATATATAGTAGAATAACTGTATAGTAGAATAACTGTATGTACCTTTCACCGGTCATACAAATCGTATAAAGACAAAACGATTGAAATGACAGGGCTAAATTTAAATTGGGGGCATCAGAGACATAATGGTGACATTCAAGCTGCTCCTTAATTTCAGAACAAATGAGGCCTTGTGAACACAGCATCCCACCCAGATTTCAGTGAGAAATCAAGTTCAGCTCAGAAACAGGAAATCATTCAGTCTGTCAAGCTTGTTCAACCAATTCAGTAGATCATAGCAGATTGTTTCATTTCATTTCGCCCAAACCCTTTCATACACTTACCTTAATCACATCATCCACCTATGTCCCAATTTCACACCCAGTGAGGTTGAAACCATTAGGTGATGCATGAAATTCTGGTTTGAATACTCTTAAACAGGGCAATGGGTTTTCACATGTGTCAGACACCCAGCTGATCAAAAAAAATCTATAACCCTGCGTTTGTTACCTCCAGCTTGGCTTCCCCATCTCCCCAGCTCTTCGCAACCTCCAGATCATCCAAAATTCAGCTGCTCGTATCCTCACCTTGACTAAACTTCACGTGCCAATCACTACTGTCCTCACCAAGCTCCACTATCTCCAACTTCTAGCAGATTCATAAAGATCCCCACTCTCTCCTACAAATCCCTATACACCCTTTGCAGGTTTCTCCAGTCTCATTCCCCCTTTACAAAAAAGCAAACTTGGACCTGCTGCACATTGTTGTAACCTCCACACACTACAATTTGGGAAATCAGGAAGGTTATACGGAAAAGCCAAATATTTCAAAACAAAGTTAATAAGTGAAAGTGTCTGACAGAAACAAACCTGTAATAACTTGAATGCTCACAACCAAGATAGGAGTTTAAAATAATATTTATTATATAGTCTGCCTGACACTGATTGAATATCTACGTCTGGCCTTCCACAGTTCCATTATTATATAAAATATATATATTATACATTATATATAGCACACATATATACACACACTATACATCTATATATATATATAGATGTATAGTGTGTGTGTATATATATATATACACACATATACACACACACACACACACTGTGGAGGGACAACCCTTATATACATCCCTGCTAAACAATCATTGGTTGGCCAACCATAAAACATTATTATAGAATCACAATCTAGTTTAAAATGTACACATTTTGAAGGTTTGAAAATTCAACCAGTAATTTTGCCTACCTTCAGCATGATGGCCTAGTTGTCCCATACATGCTTAAAAAGTTTTACTTACCGCTGTAAGACTCTTCTTTGGGTACAAGCTTTCCACCAAACGGGTTGATACTGGGGAAGATAATCAGTGTAAAAGACAAGAGGAACACCTAAGGAGAAAATAATTGGAAAAAGGATTAATCTTAACAGTTATAATAATATTTGATAGAGCACCTTATCATGTCGTTTAGAAGTCTCAAAGCCCTACATAGAATATATTGTAAAGTGGATTGAGTATATTTTGTGGTTGAAACATGGCAGCCAATTGCACAAAGCAGTGTCCCACAAACAGTCGTGGATTGCGTGATTTATTTTTAGGGATTATTACCCCTGAAAAGTGACCCGCCAATCGAGTAACAACCTACTGCTAGGGAAACAAGATATGTGTGGAGTAAGGAAACTTGCCTAAGGTTTCACCCCACCCGGGAATCAAACCAAGGTCCTCTTGCTTGTGAGGCGAGCGCACTAACACGGTTATGCAACTCAAAAAATATAAATGGGATGAAATGCTATTGGCAGTCAATTGATCGGCACTCTAAACTCTCCACAACAAAGGGCTATGGAATCTCTTAGGAGATATTCATGGTTGAACCTACAGACTATAATATTCTACCCAGCAAAATGAAGGGCCTATGCAGAGGCACAGTGATGAGAGAAAAACACGTGACCCGAAGCATTAAAAACTCCCAATGTAGAGCACCAGTGATAGCAGCTCTGAAGAATGAGAAATTTGTTAACATTTTGACACATTAAAATTAACATCTGGATTAGGTTACCAGGAAAAGTGGAAGAGACAGGGATATCAGACTCATTTAGGAAACAGCTGGATTGGTGATGTCAAGACGATGAGGTAATATTTGAAAGGTATTCACATAGTTTTCATGTAATTGCAACGGTTCTCAGTGAAGAAATGAACTTCCACGAATAACATTCTAACAATAAGTTTTGTAGCCCAGACTTGTGTTGTACAACTCAACTGTTCCCACAGTCCTTTGCCTCACCCCTCCCTTGCCTCCTTCAAGGCCTGTCTCAAGACCTTCCTCTCGGACATACCTTCGGTCACCCTCCTATCCCTACTCTCTCTACCCTCCACCCTCCTTATCTCAGCCCCCAGCTCGGGTGCAAATCCTTGACTGTCCAACACCTTAGGACGTCCTCCCGATGTGAAAGGCACTATACAAATGTAATTTGCTACTGTTGTTGGGGCTTTATGCTTACCATAATGCAAGTACTCGTGTTGGCAGTTTTGCTGGATGCTTGCTTGATGAGAGCTTGGAGTCGTCTTAGCTGTTCAACGAGGGATCTGTATCAATAAAATTTAAAAATTGAACTTAAATCATATGAAAAGAAAATTTCCCTTAATATCCAGCACCATTCCAAGCATCCTTCCCACTAGATTGTGGATTTTCAGCTCTTTGCTGAAGGAGTGAGAAACATTTGTGTACGGGATAGAGGTGCCACACTTTCAGTTTCCGGGAGCGAGTTATTTTCAACTCCTGGTAGGGAACGCCCCATTGTTAGCACAAAGTTCACAGAAATTCAAACAAATCTAATGAGATTATAATTTAATTTCCTCCCACCCTCCCCCTCCGCATATACACACTTCTGTGATGATCAAAGTGTAAATATTATTGCTGACAATTAAATATTTGACTTCAGGCACCCTCTAATGTCAACAGTGTGAACCTCTCCCAGGTTCAGTGCCGTACAACTGCACTTATTCACTAATATATTAACATACTTGCTGTATCTTATGGTAATACATACATGTTCTGTTTCTCCAGGTGTTGCACCTTCCGCTGCAGCTCCTGGTTTTGGACCGTGCAGGCAACGACTCTTCAACAAAACAAAAATTGTGTTTGAAGAATCGCAAAAGGCAAGTCACAAAATAATTTAATTTATAAGTAGTTCTGTTCTAAACGTTCCTTGCCAGCTCAGCTGGATAGTGGCAAACTGACCAAGAAAAGCCTAGTTTCAAAGTCTGGTCTGTGCTGTAAGTTGATCTCAGCTGCAGCAGCAATTGGGAAACTACAAATGACAGCACTCTTGGGATCATTAGGAGAGCAGCCAGGGTTGCTACTTTTGGTTGTTACTCAAGTGATTTGGAAAATTCTGGAACATTCTCCCTCAATCCATTCTTCTCCATCTTTAAGTCATGTCTGAAAACCTTCTTCAATTGTGCCTATGGTCACCTCCTCCTCCCCGGCGACATGCTCCGCTACTATCAAGCGCTCTGGCACTCTACTCTGCATGAGGGGGGCTATATATAAATGCAAGTTGTTGTCTCTTCCTCGACTATGGGGTGAGGACAGCAATGGGCATGGCTGTGATGCTTTGTGGAAATACAGACTGGCTTCAAGAGGTTACCCTCCAACATGCAAATGCCATTGAACCAAGAAAATAAATCTGTTTTTAGCAAGAATAAGGCTTGCCAGCACTCATACATACCGACTCTCCAGGCCATCAATGTAGTCCTTCTTCCTCCTGCGACTCTCCTGAGCAGACTGTTTATTGCGAATCTTTCTTCTGATTCTCTTCAGGATTCGTTCTTCTGACTGAGGGAGTGAACAGCGAGATGGTGAATAAAGAGACACCTGAATTTCAACTCAATTCACACGATTAAGTTTGTTCCATAATTCAGACCATGCCACACAGAATTTCATGAAACAATCAATTCTGGACACTGGGGTCTAATATGATCATTTCTAGCTGAATTCTTAAAAGGTATACCCCACTAAGCCATGAAACAATGCTTTGAAAGTAATTTGCTACAGTAGAGATATGTCATAATTTCAGTTTTCTTATTAAGGACAAGTTAGGATAAACCCTATGTTAGGGTATCTATTACAAGTTATCCCATGTAAGATCCCACTGCCTAATTAACATGCATTAAATGACTGACTAATGCTAGGAGCAGTGGTCAAACACTCAGCGAAAATTAAACAGTAACTGAAGCTAGAATCAGACAACAGAATAAAGGTATAATTATTACTAAATTAAACTGATTTAGGATTTCATCTGATTCACATAATTACTGATGAACTGCTAAACCCTCTTCGGGGAAATTTACAGAACTATTAATATTCCGCTCTTTCATCAGAAAGTTAAATATTACAGCATAATTGTTTAATAATTGCAGTCATCTTTTATTTTCTAAAATAATTATTAAATCATGTTTCATAAATCAGTTTAATGTACTGCATTATCCCGTGGTTCAAAATCTCAAACTACAACATTCGAATCAAACAGGTACTTCACTCCCAAGGCCTAACGGGCAGCAAAAATATTCCCTGACCTTGGTCAGTGGAAGATTTGTTGGGATGGATAGGCCTTCTTTAGCTAATAGTCTTCTTTCTTCATCATTCAGCAGTAGTTCATCAAATTGATACTGGAAAGGAAAAATAACGTAGTTTATATACATAGTTTCATCACTCTTGTCAAAAATCATACCAACCACAAATTGCATCTTTCAAATTGGGAGGACCTCCCAAGGCACTAGTCAGAGCTGGCGGTTGGAGACAAAGGGGGAAAGGAAAGATGACCAAAGACACAGTCAAAGAGGAAGGTCTTGAGACAGATCTTGAAGGAGGCAAGGGAAGGAGCAGGCAAAGGGACTCTGGGATGGAGTTTCAGAGAGTGGGAGCAGTAAAACTGAAAACCCAACCACTAATGGTGGATCGGGCAGGGTGAGGGACGTGATGCAGACTTGCTGAGCCGAGGGACTGCACAGGTTGGTAGGGTTTTAAGGAGGTCAGAGGTAAGGTGGGGCAAGACCTTGGAGGATTTAAAAGCAAGGATGAGGATCAGAGGTTCTGCACTGGCTCCATGAGGCGGAGTGTGTATTGTTGTCAGCACTCATGAAATGTGTCAGTGCCTGAGGTGAGAAAGTGGTGATGTGAGCCAAGCAGGAGAGCCACTGTCTTGTCAACATTCAACTGGAGAAATTTAGTTCTCATCCAAAGGTCATCAGAGTTCAAATTAATGCCTTCAAACAAAAGCAATTTCTGATGCTAGCATAAAATACCTTCAGGTTACAACCTTGTGAAGGCTTGTACAACCCAATGGCAGCAAGAAAGAAACTCTTCTTTTTAAATAAAGAATATGTTCTGGTCTGGATATTGCTCTTTATTAGGTTTAACACTGCTGAGCCAACAAATTCCTCTCGCCACTAAATGTAGTGACTTTAACAACGTACACTAACCTGTGTTGCCTCCACTGCCATTCTGTACCTAGTTACTATGAGTTACCCAAGACTGGGCAACGAGATCTGAGTTCCTCTGCTCAGCACTTTCCCATCGTGACACACCTCAGATTGGGAACTGTGCCTGGGGAACGAGGGGGAGGGGTGAATGCTAGATGTGACCCCCCCCCACCCCAACCACTCTCAGTATCCCAGCAGCTGATGGAATATTGTGTGTATGTGTGTGTGAGGGGGTGGGGGGTGAAAACTGAAGAATTACAGGCATGACTGTGTTCCATCAGTCCATGGCACTCCATGGTGCTCCACCAAACTGCAAACTGTTCTTAGCAGAGCAGTCCATCATATTCACAGAGCAGAGAATTAATAAAGTCCACTGAATACAACTTTTCCCCAACAGGCAGATTTCTCCCAGTAGCACACTGAGTAGAGTGTTTTTAAAACTCACTATAATCACACAAGGTAACACTTTCTAGAAGTGTTTGGCTATTGGTTAAATAAGGCTAAACAATGCCGGTTGTACACTTCAGAGAAGCCCCCCAAACAAATAAAATGCACGGAGCCTGGTGCGGAAGAGGACCGAGCTGTAGAGTTCTGAACGGTCTGTAACTTGTGGAGGGAAGAGTTGAGGAATCCAGCAAACAAGAGGAAAATAAACATCACACTTCTGTGAGAACACAAATGATCTCCTCCACTTCCATCTCCCCTACTTCCAACCCACCAATCCCCAGTATTTGCCAGAATCAAACATATTCATTTGAAGTTAGAGAGTGCAAACTTACTGGGTTTAATTTACTGTATTGCTGCAGATCTTCAATGGTGAGGCTCACAAGGTCAGTGCTATTTTTAGTTGGCACAACTTGTGAGTTTTCCGTCAAAAACTCAGGCTCCCAGTCTAAGAGGAAAGGAAATGAGTAAATCGCATGTCAGTGACACTTATTTAAATGGGGAGGAAAACAACTTTTAAAAAAAAACTATTACTAAACATAAGATTTTAGGCAAATTTAAAAAAGGAAATGAACTTGGGGGATTTTAACAATTTGAAATACATTGCCCACAACTAAGAAGAGCTTACTTAGTCACTGTTGGCTAGAAAGAATACTATATAAATAACCATCAGATCAGCTCATAATCACAACATTAAAAACAGACAGCAAACATGCCAAGTGCATAACTAAATACTTCCTTCAGATTTTAACCCACTGGGTTCAGGAGAAAAAAATGACACTGCCAAGCTTTTTTTTATTGTTTATCTTAATTTAGATACAATCTGTGCGACTGTCATAATGAAAGTCTTGAAATAAAAGTAGGTTTCGTGGAACAACCTGAAACACGACTTCCCAGTTTGCAGTGATCTGGAATGGTACGTGCTATTCATTTGGTTGAAAAACAATAACTTTTGTACAAATGACTATATGCTGGCATCTTACAGTCTTTTAATATTCAGAATGGAGAATGATAATTGAACTTTCTTTTGGCAAATGTATGTCAACTCTCACTCCTTCACTACAGGGCAGAGCCTGGCTCCTTAGTAGTCACCAATACCTCTCAATCATCAAATAAGAAGAAAGTTCTACAGGACAGGATAAATCCCACCAAATTGTCAGGCTTCCGGACACACCATCACAATGGAGTTTTACAACTGTTATACAACCCCAGGGAGGCCAAGGAATGGGAGTGAGAAAGGGAAAACAAGAAGAGCAAGTTTAGCCTGAAATACAGAAAAAAAGAACAATTGTTCCTTCAACAGTCAAAAGGGAGGGACTACATTGCCTCCTCACTCCGGAACTCACCTTACCTCTCAGCCTTCGAATCAACCTTGAAGACCTACCGCTCTGACTGCACTTTCAGTCATCTCTCTTCTCTCCCTTCCCTCCCAGTTTAAGCTCCTGCTCAATCTCTGCAAAATACTTTGGTACATTCCCCCAACATGGAACCTGCTATATAAGTGTACATTATTGCAAAATTGTCATATAATGTAGTAGGCACTAACCTAGATCAATTGAAATATCGGTTTCTGTTGTTGGGGTTTCAGTCTTTACACTGTACAAACAATCTGCATTCTGCTGTGAATCCTGAACAAGTGAATAGTTATGGTCGGAAACAATGACATCATAACATGAGGGACTATCAGACAGGGCAGCATCGCTCCCTGACAGGCTGTCTGCTTGGACAAAGTGATTATTGTCTTCTGATATCCCACTGTCACTCCCCACTGGAGACCAGGAGAGAATTGCAGGGCTCTCGTCCTCAAAAGAACCAATGATGGAGTTTAGAAAATCCTCAGTGTCGTGGTCATTCAGCATCTGAGAAATATAAAAAACAGTCTCAGGGTTGGGACATTTATATGCACAAAGGGAGTGGAAAGAAAGTGTTCATTGAATGACACTGTTTAATGGAACAGGGGCACAAATTACATTTTGGGAGATCCATTTACATGCAACAACACTTGAGGGTTACAGTTGTGGTTTGGTTGCATCGTAAGGCACTCAAAAATGTGAACAAACATTTTTGGGGAGTCAGCTGACACGTGCAAAAACCCATCACCGTGCTTAAGAATTCAAATCAAAGAAAGTTTCAAGGATTCCACCTAAACATGGAAATTCCCATGTATTGGAATGCTCACTCCATCCCTGGAGGGACACAACCTGCTTACCCAAGTACAGAGAGTATTAGGAGCAAGCAGGCAAAAGTCAAGGCTTGGAATGTTCAATGGGGTACTACTAGAGCTTAACCAGCTATAACCATATAGCTTGCCATTGAGAACACCATTGGGCAAGCTTCCTGCTGCTTGTCCAGCTAGGACCACACTACCCGTTGGGCTTTGGCTTGCAGGGTTAACAGGAGATGAGTGGCAAGAGATGAACAAATCTAGCTTCAAGACCCCACTTACCCCCTGCCCCCCAACACAGCCTCCCCAAAAAATTATGAAATAAAACCACTACTAGCTTAGCTAAGATACAGGTTAGCATCTTTACACAAAACTGTAACCAAAAGAAAACTTATTTTATTACACAGAAAACAAACAAACGATAACTTACATCTTGGTCACAAAGTCCCCAATCCTCCATAAACTTGGTCCCATCACTAAATTCCTGATCTGATAGAGGCTCAGTCTGAAATAACAGGTCCATGAGTTCATTGTTGTTTAGATCATCACTTAAAGCCATCTGCAGGAAGACAAAAAATACCTTCATAAATATTAACCTATCTTCAATGTAGACCTTTGATTGCTGTTTACAATATTTTCTGTGTTTCTGTAAGCATTTAAGACATGCAAGGACATGCAGACCTTCAATTTTTTATACTAAGTAGGCTGTTATTAAGATAAAGCTATGGGTGAATAATTTAGGACTGCGTAAGTATTAAGTGGAGTTGTGTTTAGTATTAAGTGGAGCACGTTGTGTTTGAAACGTGGCAGACAATTGCAGTCGTGGATTGAGTGACCAAATAAATTTTTTTTGGAAAGGATTATTACCACTGGAAAAGTGATGTCAATCGAACAACAACTGGGTTCCTAATAATAATAATAAATTAGTCACTTCAATCCATGGCTGTTTGTGGGACACTGCTGTGCACAATTGACTGCCGCATTTCACCCACAAAAGTCAATTCACTTCACAGTATATTCTGTGAAGCTCTTCGAGACTTCTTCAAGACGTGATAAGGCACTATATCAAATGCAAGGATTATTAATCATCGTTCCTTGTGATAATCTTTTTAAATAATGCTGTCAAGTGTACAGATCAGCCACTTGACTGTGATAGCTGGTTATTTACAATGAACAAACAACTTGCCATTAGCCACTCCTTTCAAATGAGGTGGAGTTCTGTAGCTCAGTGGTTAGAGCACTTGCTTTGCAAGCGAGAGACCTGAGTTCAATTCCAGGCAGAGGGCGAAACCTTGGGCAAGTTTCCTTACTCCACACAGAGCCTAATAATAATCCCTCCAAAACCAAAAACAATAATAAATTGGTCATTTTCAACCTACGACTGTTTGTGGGACATTGCTGTGCGCAATTGGCTGCCGCGTTCGCCCACAAATATACAGTCAATTCACTTTACAGTGTGTTCTGTGAAGCACTTTGGGACGTCCTCCCGACGTGAAAAGCGCTATATCAAATGCAAGGATTATTATTATTATTATTAGGTGCTACTCCTCTTCATGCAAGTGCTACACATTCATTTGAAAAAAGGATTTCAATTGGCACAAACAGGGTCCTAATGCTAATCCACAACAGACTGCAAAAGGTTCCGCTGTGAATGTGGATTGTAGCATAAGCCAACACTGCTGCAATACATGACTGACTGCCTGGGCAGTCCCCTTGCTAGATTACATCACCCGAAACTACAGTCCTGATAAACAGGAAACACGCTGTTCAAAAATTAAAAAGTTTAAGGCGAGTTTGGACAAGAACTCGGTAATATCCAGTCATTTAATTGGTAGGGATTGGGAAAGCGTGATCCAAGGGAGATAATTGATTGTGTACAAAGTACAATGAAATTTCAAGCAATGATAGATTCAAGACAAAAACACAGAAAAACACAAACTTCGCACAACTTCAGAAAACACACAACTCTGCTTTACACAAACAGGACTCAGTTCCCATGGTTTATGCTCCAGATCTCAAAAAAGGTGCAGCTGATGTGGTACAGAACCGACCAGAGGCATGTTGCTGTACCCACAGTAAACCGGATAGGATTGCAACGCTACATTCATTGTTGTGTTGTTTACTTTGCCAAGAAAGTACATCGCTAGCAATAAACAGAACTAACACCTACATACAATAATTGCATAGGTTTATTTTGGGGAAGCTTTTGAAAGAAGCTGTGTGCAAGCTTCCTTTGAAAGTGCTTGCACAGAGATTTTTTGTTGAAAAAAAGTCCAATCCGCTGTTAACAATTCAATCAGGTTCAACATTCTCCGTAAAACACATTTCCCAGAACTTACAATTTTGTTTTTTTTAAAAAATCCATAACTCTGTAATATCAAGGAAGTGTTAGGATTAGACCTTTTTATCTTTTGGGCGAGGCATTGCAATGTTTCTCGAGTGGGAGCAGCGCCAAGAAAAAAAATCTACATATGTAAATGACAAAATAAATGCCTATTTTCTTTCCCAAAAGTTTCAGGATGCGTAGGTCAAAAAATATATGCAACAAATGGAAATTGTTATTGTGGCCACGTCTCAAAGATTTGTGGTGACATTTCCTCATCAGCAAAACAAATATCAGAACTCAAGCCACGTACCCTCTATCAACCTCCCTCCCTATCCTGCTCCCTGTCCAGGTCTAGACTTTAAATAACGCAGATCAAGGACATCTGATATAGCAAAGCCCTTAAAAATATTACAAAAAATAAATACAAAAAAACTTACTTAATTAAGGAATAAGATAACTATTTATAAGGCATGCTGTGTGAGTGTGAGAGTATAAGAGTGAGCTTGTTTGAGAGTGGGTGAGTGTGAGTGAGAGTGGGTGAGGGTAAGTGAGAGTGGGCGAGTGTGAGGGTGAAGGTGTGAGAGAGTAGGTGAGTGCGTGAGAGAGTGCATGAGAGAGTGGGAGAGAGTGTGCACGAGTGGGCAAGTGTGTGCATGTAAGAAGGTGGGCCAGTGTGTATGTGAGAGAGTGGGCCAGTGTGTGTGTGTGTGTGAGAGAGTGGACATGTGTGTGTGTGTGCGAGAGTGGACATGTGTGTGCGCGAGTGTGGACGTGGTGTGTGTGTGCGAGTGAACGAGTGTGTGTGTATGTGAAAGAGTGGGCGAGCGTTTGCATGCGAGAGTGGGCGAGTGTGTGTGTGAGAGAATGGGCGAGTGTGAGTGAGTGGGTATTGTGGCTTCTGAAGGGTGCACAGAGCACCTCAGCCTCACTCGGGCTCCATCGAAATCTCCATCATCAACAACAACAACAACAAGATTACACTTGTACAGCACCTTTCACGTCGGGAGGACGTCCCAAGCCACTGGACAAAGTACAGCATTTCAGACCCGAGCTGGGGTCAGGGGGGGAGGGGAGGGGAAGCGGGGAGGGGAAGGGGGGAGGGGAGGGGAAGGGGGGTGGCCGATGGCATGGTCGAAGAGGAGGGTCTTGAGGCGGGACTTGAAGGAGGCTAAGGAGGGGGCGAGGCGGAGTGACTGGGGGATGGAATTCCAGAGGTTGGGGCAAAGTGGCTGAAGGCTCTCCCGCCAATGGTGGGGCGGGTGGGTCGGGGGACGTGGAGCAGCCGGAGCCGGCCGAGCGGAGGGAGGGAGCGGGCGGGTTGGTAGGGGGTTAGGAGGTCGCAGAGGTAGGGTGGGGCGAGGCCGGGGAGGGCTTTGTAGGTGAGGACCAGGATCTTGAACTGGATCCCCTGAAGGATAGGGAGCCGATGGGAGTCGAGCCGCTAACAGCCCACAGCGTGGAACTCTCTCGCCCAATCCCCCCACCTCCCCTCCCCCTCCCCCAGCCTTCACATCACATCACACCTGAAGACCTTCCTCTTCCTCACTGCTTTGCAGTGACTTTCTCACCAGCTCACACATCAATGGCGGCGGTGGTGGTGGTTGTTGTGGTGGTGGTTGACACTTGTCCCCTCCTCTGAGGTGAGAGCTGGAGTCAGTCTGTCACTCACCTCTGGTGACCAGACACCGACGAGGAGCCGCCGCCGCTGTGGCTGATTCCCTGCGCGTTCACTCCGCTTCTCTCTGCTCACAATCACATGACAAGCCTCCAACGGGGCACCGGTGACATCAGGTAACCGGAACTGCAGGCAGCCTCCGCGCGGGGCGCGCCGGTTTCTGTAGTTCCTCGCTCGGTCCCGGCCGCTCCCCACCGCTCACTCACCAACTACAACTCCCAGCGTGCTCCGGGGCCCCACCCGCCCTCGCCACATCAGCTCGCCGGCCTTTGGGAGCAGCTGTCGGAAGTCCCGCCCGTCCTGCGCGCCGATTGGTGTTGCTAGGCGCGCTCGCGTGGATTTATACGTCGCGACGCACGTCAATCTCCGTGCTTGCGGGCAGGGGCGGAACAAAGGGGGTCTATTGTGACGTGGAGAAACGGGAGGTTGCTGACTGACATGTGTCACTCAAAGAGGGCTGAACATTGCTGCATTAAAATTGCAGGGCTATTGCTAACCATACACATGCAACCAAAAGGATAACTTATTTTATTCCTTACAATCATAATAACAATAATAATAATCCTTGCATTTGATAACAGCGCCTCATCACGTCGTTCAGATGTCTCAAAGCGCTTTGTGGAATATACTGTAAAGAATTGACTGTATTTTGTGAGCAAAATGCAAAACATATCTAAATATGTGTATATGTATCTATAGATTATAGACATAAGAAAGCATGCCTTAATGTTAAACATTCATTCACACAATGAGGGTGAAGAAAGTGCAAAATAATTATAGTAGAGAAACATACTGTAAAATTGCAACAACAACAACAAGATTACATTTGTATAGCGCCTTTCATGTCGGGAGGACGTCCCAAGGTGCTGGACAGTGTACAGCATTTCAGACCCGAGCTGGGGTCAGGGAGGGGAGGGGAGGGGAAGGGGGGTGACCAATGGCATGGTCGAAGAAGAGGGTTTTGAGGCTGGGAGGTTAAGGAGCGGGCGAGGCGGAGTGATTGGGGGATGGAATTCCAGAGGTTGGGGGCAGAGTGGCTGAAGGCTCTCCCCCCAATGGTGGGGCGGGTGGGTCGGGGGACGTGGAGCAGCCGGAGCCGGCTGAGCGGAGGGAACGGGCGGGTTGGTAGGGGGTTAGGAGGTCGCAGAGATAGGGTGGGGTGAGGTCATTGAGGGCTTTGTAGGTGAGGACCAGGATTTTGAACTGGATCCTCTGAAGGATAGGGGCCAATGGAGTCATGCGAGAGTGGGGGAGATGGGGGTCCCGGAGTTTGGTGCGGGATCTCTATTAAATCCCCTCTTAATCTCCTCTACTCTAGGGAGAATAATCCTAGTTTCGCTAACCTCTCCTCATAACTAAGGTCCTTCATTCCTGGTACAATCCTGGTAAACCTCCTTTGCATCTTCTCCAATGCCCTAACATCTTTCCTAAAGTGCGGTGCCCAGAACTGAACGCAGTAACTAAGTTACAATGAGGCATCAAATTAGTGAGCCAATTATACATGAGAATTGGATACAAAAACTAATGAATGTTGACAAGATTTCAAAATGTAGCTTTAAATGTAGCTTGGGGCAGGAAATGTAAAAATAGCATTGACTTTTCAAGTACATATGCATTAATTTAATAAAAGGCTTTGTAATATTCCAGAACCTGGGGAAGGTGGACAATCTCCTGTAATGTTATTTACTTTTGTACAAATTGCTATAGCATCTTTCATCAGAAAGGTCATCGACCTGAAACGTCAACTCACTTTCCTCTCTCCATAGATCTCCCTGACCTATTGCACGTTCCCAGTGACTTCTGTTTTTATTTCAGATTTTCAGCATCTGCAGAATTTTAGCTTTTGTTTATTGCTATTGCATATGTTTGGTCTCCTATTTCCTCAGCAATCCTTTATTTATAACATATCTTGTTATTTTTCCTCTGAATTTGTGAGTTCCATATAATCATAGAAATTTACAACACAGAAGAAGGTCATGCGATCCAATAAGTCTGGGTTGCCTGTTTGAAAGAGCAATCCACTGAGTCCTATTTACCTGCCTTTTCCCCATACTGGTAGAACCGGTCAAGTTTCTCAATGTTGTATGGTGAATTGCTCCCTCCCGTGGCCTTGTTAAGAAATTTAGAATAGGAACTTATCCTATTCAGTGCACTGCGCCTGCCTGCCTGCCAGAGTGGAATTTAAATACAGGTTGTATCTTGGAAATGAATTCATATGTACTGACTCAAATTCTCAGTCAGGGACATTGCTGTAATAGTGAGGGACTCAGCTGCAAGGTGTAATAATATAAGAGATTTTTTGTTGCTCAGCTAGGTGTCTGACACATGCAGAAACTTACCACCATGCTTAAGAGGATCCAACCAAAAAGAGTTATAATAAAAATATAATAATCGTTGCGTTTGATATAGTGCCTTATCACGTTTTCTAGACATCTCAAAGCGCTTCACAGAATACATTGTAAAGTGAATTGACTGTATGTTTTGTGGGCGAAAGGCAACAGCCAACTGCGCACAGCAGTGTCCCACAAACAGTCATGGATTGAGTGACCAAATTATTTTTTTTCTCTCTCATCTTCAAATATCTTGCTTTCCTTTCTCCAGTATTCACATTGGTGATTCTGTGAACTAGTGTGTAGCAGCGTTGGACCAGACACACTGAAAAGCTGAAGGTTTGAATCCAAGTGTATTGCTAACTTAGATGGTCTCAGTGGGGCAGCATTTGAGGTGCTACAATTGACCTTAGGTTTAGGTAGGGCAAAATCAGGAGGATTTCCCCTCCTGACCATTACTTTGTGACTCCTGCTGGAAGGTATGCACATGTGGATGTCTGCTGAGGATGGGATCTGGTTTAGCTGTGACGTTCTTGCAGGAGGATGGCTAGCCATTACCCACTGTGAAGAATTATACAAGGAGGGGATGTAGCTCAGTGGTAGAGCGCATGCTTCGCATGTATGAGGCCCCTGGTTCAATCCCTGGCATCTCCACAGATATTTTCAAAAGAGCAGATAAATGGAAAGAATTACTCTTGAGGGAGCTGGCACAGACACGAAGGGCCGAATGGCCTTCTTCTGTGCCATAAATTTCTGTGGTTCTATCAATAATACCTTGGGCGAGGTACGACATTCAATTATATAGCGAACTTCATTCAGGGAAGCACTGAAGTCCACATACACCACAACACACAAATATATAAATATTTAAAGTCACACACACACCACCTTTAAAAAATTGTATACCCTTTACGCAACATTTTAGAGAATCTAGAATTTAGACGATTGTTGAATTAAGTCTTACTTTGAAGCCAGTTTTATGCAGTTCTTTAAAGAACTTACAGTCTGAAATGTTATTAGATTAAATCAAAACTTAGCTAGAATTTTACCCATTGCGTATACTTTTCGCCCCAAAAATACAAGTTTAATGTATATTCTGTGAAGCGCTTTGAGACATCTCGTGATAAGGCACTATATCAAATGCAAGGATTATCATTTATTATTTTTATACAAACCATAAGATTTACTGCTCTTCCACACCATTTAATGCGTATTTATGCTCATTCTTTCTGCCAAAATGTATCACGACTGCTCCCTGCGTATGGCAAGAAGCCAGTTCAGTTTGAAAAGATTTGTGAATACTTTGCTTGTTGAATCCCGTACAAATTAGCATTGCTATGAGGCATTACAGTACTGTTGACCCGTGGAGTTTGATGACCAAAGGGATATGCAGGAACATGATGAAGGAGTCACCAAGGATGAATGGAATGTTATCACCTATGATCCCTCTCAGAAAGATTTTTGGGCACCAGTATTATTTCTTAGAGCTTATTTATCTGTAGCTGTTGAACCCATGTTTGCATAGCTTGTTCTAGTCAGGTTTGGATAGCATGGGAGTGGGTGGTGTGGGAGGGGATAATGGAATTTTTAAGAAGAAAATGTCAAAGAAAGGTTACATCTTTTACAAGATATCACCTGAGAAATTATTACGCTGAAATTTTTACTGTTGCAAAAAACATTTTGGTATTGCCTTTGCGTAAATATTTAAGATCAGGAATGAAGTCTCAGGTTCAATCCCTGACATCTCATCAGGTTTCAAAATGCTTTGTGATATTATCCTATGAGAATTATTTGGCGAGGATAAGTTTGCAAGGTTATGGGGAGAGAGCGGGGGAGTGGGATTGATTTGAATAGCTCTTTTCAAAGAGTTGGCACAGACACGATGGGCCGAATGGCCTCCTTCTGTGCTGTATAATTCTATGATTCTATGAGTAAAGTGCTATTTAAATGCAAGTTATTGTTCAAGACTATACAAGAATATAAAAGCTGATCAGATTGCTCTTCCTAGTGAATCCACTTTACAGTATATTCTGTGAAATGCTTTGAGATGTCTCAATGATGTGATGAGGTGCAAGGATTATTATTATTATTTCTGGGATAATGAATGGGTCATTTATAGAATACAATTTGTAGGGATTAATATTGCCAGTTATTTTGTGTCACCTTTCAATATTCTGAACACATTGATCAAATCATCCCTCCACTATTCCTTCTTCAACTTCCTCCTACTTTTCAGAATTTTTTCTCCTTTCCGTACAAGCTCTTTTTTGCCTTTTATTCCCTCAATAACAATCCCTCAAGAGCATCTTTTCAAAGCCTTCTGCAAACATCTCTTTTGTAACTTTACTGAATTTGACTTCACTTTTACCTAATCCTTTCTTTTTTCAAAGTCTATGTGGTCCCTCTGAGGTTCCCATATTCAATCCCTGAATTGGGACTTTGAACTCACCATCTAGGCTAATAGTGCAGTGTTGGGGAGTGAAGGATACTGCATTTTTGGATGTGCCGTCCCTCAGACAAGACATTAAAGCACCTGAGGACATCTTCCCGATGTGAAAGGCCCTATAGAAATGTAATTTGTTATTGTTGTTAAGCAAGGCCCCATCTGTGTGTTCAGATGGATGTTAAATATTCCCTTCTCTTGCAAAGAAAAGGGAGCATCTCCTGGTTTGCTGGTCAACAATCCCACAGATAAAAGATTGGCCAGTTACTTCATGGCTGTTTGTGGGACAAAGTGCTCTAGGACTCTGTCCTGTTTGCTATATAAATGCAAGTTGTTGGTGCTGTGTGCATATTGGCTGCTGCATTAGCAAATACACAATAAAATCTTGTGGAGCATTTTTGACATTTTGACGTGATAAGGTCCTACATCAAAAGCAAATAGAAGGATTATTGTATAATAATTGTATTCATGCCAAGATCCATTTGTCCCTATTCTGATGCAAAGAGAAAAGACATAAAGAATCCTCTTTTAGAAAGTGTTGTGTGACTGATAGGCAGGTATGATACTCTGTCATGTGCATTATTATACACTGCCAAGAAACATGTAGCTGATGCTCCCAACGGATTACAAAGTGAAAGGACATTAAGCTCCATTGTATTCATTTTGATACTTTAGATTTTATTTGAAAAAAAAGGACCTACAAAAGCAGATTGTCAAGTTTATTTGCAGTTATTGCCTTTTATGTGTAATACTGTGTTAAATAAAGCACATTATTGTTTCATTTAAAATTATTTGTGGACAATTAATATACCAGCAAAATATTATTTAGAACTTGCACTGTGAAAGTCCCCAAGCCAGAAAGCAGTGATAAAATGCCTCTAGGGCTAGACCAACTTAATTTTGTATGATGCATCTGATAATGCATTAACTTATTAATAGGCGAGTTTGTACATAATTGATAAGAACAAATTAATTCTCTGTCATCCAAAAATAAATCTTAAATCAACATTGTTGCTTGCTAAATTTGAACAAATGGAACGTGTTGATCCTTGCTCTGATATGACAGATCCAGGCTGTGATATTTAGTAAATATGTGAGGGTGGCAACCTGACAGATTTTCTCAATAAAGACTTTTTTTGAAAGCGACTCTGGATGTATTACAAGTGGAATGTCCTTTATTGACACTAATAGCTTTCTCCCAGTTAATTTGTAGAAGTACAAAATCACATTCTACCATTGCAAACCATTGTTTAGTTGAAAGTAATATAGCAGGAAAATAATATATTGCTGGTATATTGATTGACCCTTATTAAAGATCTGTTGGAAATAAATGCTCTCCTAGTTTTCCTACACTTAGGATCTGTTGGAAATAAATAGTCTCTGAGTTTTCCTACAAGACCTTGCACTTACAGAGTATCGTTCAGGTAGGATAACCTCCTGATGTTTTACAAAGTGGGAAAAGGGAGAGGACCAACCGGCTGTGGGAGGACCAAAGCCTGGTCAGAGACAGTTTATTTAGGAGGGTTTTGCAGGCAAGAAGAAAGGGTGTGACTTTAGAAGAAGAAAATGACTTTAGAGGAAGATATCCATAGATATCCATATCCATATCCATAGATTGGGGCATTGTGGCTGAAGGAACACTACTACTGGCAATTATGCAGCAGACCTGAATTGGAGTAATGGGGGATGCAAGTGGGAGATTGGGGCTGGAAGATATTGCAGAGGTTAGGCGGGGCAAGAGTATGAAAGGATCTGAAGGTCCACTGGGGGAACAAGGATCTACAACAACAACAAGAACAAAATTATATTTATATAGCGCCTTTCACGTTGGGAGGACATCCCAAGGCGCTGGACGACAGAGTTTCGGACCCGAGCTGAAGGTTGGGGTGGGGGAGGGCAGGGGGAGAAGCAGGGAGATCGAAAGCAAGATCTAGTGGACAAAATGTAAAATACTGCAGATGCTGGAAATCTGAAACAAAAACAGAAGTCGCTGGGAACACTCAGCAGGTCAGGCAGCATTTGTGGAGAAACAAAAGTGAGTCAATGTTTTGGGTCCATGACCCTTCGTCGTAAGTTTCTCCATAGATGCGGCCTAACCTGCTGAGTGTTCCCAGCGAATTCTGTTTTCGTTAAGGATCTAGTGGAGCCTGGTGAAGATGGTGTTGATGGGCCACATGGATTCTAGTGGGGGAAACTACTGGCTATGGAAATCTGCATGAACTGGAGCTATGGAAGGTTGAACTAGTGAGGCTAAAGAGGATTTAGCTTCAAATTATTTACTGTGAGACAAGGAGGCAGTGGACCTCGTGGGAACTGGGGCGAAGGGTGTGTGGCGAGGATTCGGGTGATGGGTGTGTGGAGTTTGCGAAGATTGGAGTGATGGGTGTGTGGAGTCTGGTAAGGACTGGGATGATTGGCGCCTGGGTAGGTAATGGGCACCTGGCATTTACAACAACGACAATTTGGATTTATATAGCGCCCTCCACGCTGGATAGCGTCTCAGAGCGCTTCACAGTAATGGATCCCGGGACCGAGCCAGGAGGAGGGGGAGGAAGGTGACCAAAGGCGCAGTCGAAAAGAAAGATCTTCGGCCAAGACTTGAAAATAGGAAGAGAGGGGGCGAGGTGAAGGGAGTGAGGAAGGCAGTTGCAGAGCCTCAGGGCATAGTGGCTGAAGGCACTGCCGCCAAGGGTGGAGCGGAGGACTCGAGGGACAAGGAGGAGGCCAGACCCGGTGGAACAAAGGCAACGGGCATTGTTGTGAGGAGAGAGGAGGTCAGAGAGGTAGGGGGTGCAGAGGAGTGGTGGTGGTGGTGAAACACTGTGAAGTGCTCTGAGATGCCGTCCGGCGTGGAGGGCGCTATATAAATCCAAGTTGTTGTTGTTGTTGTAAATGCCAGGCGCCCATTACCTGCCCAGTCGCCATTTAGTGCTGGTGAGAATGTGGATGGCGGAAAATCCTCACCCACTTTGCTTGGCACTTGATCCAACTCCAACAAGGGTCCTCACCCGCATTAAATGCCAGGAGTCCATTACACGCCCAGTTCTCCTCGGGCTCCACTGCCTCCTTGTCTCCCAGTGACAAAACGGGACACATGCAGGGGGTGGTGGGAGGGGGTTTGTGGTGAGGGGATTGTGGGCGTTTAGACGAGGAGGGCAGCGAGGAGGGCATTAAAAAAATGCTGAGACAGACGTCCTACTGACTTGAAAGACACCATATATGAACTTCATTTTGTTGTGGTTGGGTGACAAAGGGTGTTTGTGTGTGTCGGGGTGGTGTGTGGAGTGTGGGTGGTGATGTTTGTGCGGGGGGTGTGGGTAGAGTGTGTGTGTGTGGAGGTGGATGGGATGGTGTGTGTGTATGCGGGGAATGGGTGAAGTGGTATGTGTATGTGCGGGAGGGCGTGAGTGGGATGGTGTGTGTGTGTGGGTGGGTGGGGTGGTGCGTGTGTGCGCGGGGTGGGTGGTGTGTATGTGTGCGCGCGCAGAGGGGATGGTGTGTGTGTGCGTGGGGTGGAGTGGGGTGGGTGGGGTGGTGTGTGTGTGCGGATGGGTGGGTGAGTGGTGTGTGTGTGTGCGAGGGGGTGGGGTGTGCGTGCGTGGGGGGATGGTGTGTGTATGTGTGGGGTGGGGTGGTGTGTGTGCGGGTGGGTGAGTGGTGTGTGTGTGTGTGTGCGGGTGGGTGGGTGGGTTGGGTGGTGTGTGTGCGGGTGGGTGGGTGGGGTGGTGTGTGTGTGTGCGGGTGGGTGGGTGGGGTGGTGTGTGTGTGCGGGTGGGTGAGTGGTGTGTGTGTGTGTGTGCGGGCGGGTGGGTGGTGGTGTGTGTGTGCGGGGGCGGGGGCGGGTGGTGTGTGTGTGTGCGGGCGGGTGGGTGAGTGGTGTGTGTGCGGGCGGGTGGGTGGTGTGTGTGTGCGGCGGGCGGGCGGGTGGTGTGTGTGTGTGCGGGCGGGTGGGTGAGTGGTGTGTGTGTGCGGGCGGGTGGGTGGTGTGTGTGTGTGCGGGCGGGCGGGCGGGTGGTGTGTGTGCGGGCGGGCGGGTGAGTGGTGTGTGCGGGCGGGGAGTGGGGTGATTGGTGTGTGTGTGTGTGTGTGTGGGGGAGATGGGATGGGGTGGGTTGGTGGTGGCGGTGGCGGTGGCGATGAGGGGGGTTGAAGAGGGCAAAGAGACCAAGAACGAAAACAATAACCATATCCGTGGTCTCCTCTGACGTCGGCAGAATGTGTGGAGGAGGAGGAAGGAAGGGGGGGGGGGGGGGGGGGGGGACGAGGCCACGCCCGATTGCGAAACAAGTCTTGGGAGGAGGAGAGGGGGGGGGGAGAGGGGGGGGGAGAGGAGGGGTGGGGGGAGGGGGGAGAGGAGGGGTGGTGGGGGGGGGGAGAGAGGGGGAGGAGTCTGGTGGCATTGGCACAGCCACAGACTCTGTTGGGTAATTTTTTTTGCTCCATTCGCTGCGCTGCTGTAACATGCGCCGTGTGTGAGAGACAGAGACACAGAGGGAGAGGGAGAGAGGGAGAGAGAGAGAGAGGCACAGCTTCCAGGAGACCTGAGTAAGTCACCTCCACAACCCACACAGAGACTCTTATCAGAGATATGTTACATTATATTACCATATTATATCCGTCTGTGTGTAAAGTTATATATATACACATATTTTTTTAAAAAAACGTACAGAGAGAGAGAGAGAGAGAGTTGGTTTTTTAAGTTGTTTTTTTTTAATTTTTTTAAAAAAAGAAGAGAAGAGAAGAGAGAAAGAAAAGATTTTTTTTAAAAGAGAGAGAGAGAGAGAGAGAAAAAAAGGGGGTTTCAAAGAAAACTTTCAGACATGAAAACACTCTCACACACTCACTCACTCACACACTCACTCACTCACTCACGGGGGGGGGGGGGGGGGATGGACTGTGTTGTGGGGATACAGTGTATATATAGATATAATATAAATGTACTCGGGCTTTTTTTTTGTAGCCCAAGAAGCCTTCTCCAGGGCTTACAAAACACCCTCACTCTGTCCTCCTCCTCCTCCTTTTTGCTCTTTTTTTCCCCCTTCCCTCCTTCCCTCTCTATTCTCTCCCCCTCTCTCTCCCCCCACTCCCTCTCTCTCTCCCCCTCTCTCTCCCCCCACTCCCCTCTCTCTCCCTCTCTCTCTCTCCCCCACTCCCTCTCTCTCCCCCTCTCTCTCTCCCCCCTCTCTCTCCCCCCCACTCTCTCTCTCTACCCCCCTCCCTGCCCCCCTCTCTCTCCCCCCCCCCTCTCTCTCCCCCCCTCCCTGCCCCCCCTCCCTGCCCCCTCTCTCCCCCCTCTCTCTCCCTCTCCTATCCCCCCCTCTCTCTCCCCCCCTATCCCCCCTCCCCCCCTATCCCCCCCCCCCCAGTTGCTGGTGTTACAGAGGGCGGCGCTTCTCTCTCTCTCTCTCTCTCTCTGTCACTGAAGTTGGGATTTTTGGGGTCAGGTTCAGACCCGGAAACTTCTCACAGTCTCTGAGCCCCGAACTGACTGGGAACCCAGTGTTGGAGTCCTCTCTCTTGGCCTCGGGGGGGTGTGTGGGGGGGGCGTGTGTGTGGGGGTGTGGGGGGTGTGTGTGGGGGGGTACAGGGGCTGTATTTTTTTGCTCTGTCTGTGGCTGTGGCTGTGCTTGAGCTGCGCTGGTGGGGGGGGGTTTGGGGTGGGGGTGGGGGGGTTTGGGGTGGGGTTGGGGGGGTGGGGGGGTTGGGGCGGGGGGGGTTTGGGGGTTTGCCCTGTGTGGGGTCGAATGGGGAGAGGGGAGATTTTGTCGTGGGAGGGGATTTGTCCTTTGTGTGTGTGGGGATTTGTCCTGTGGGGGGGGGGGGGTTCTTGTCCTGTGGGGGGTGGGGGGGGATCTTGTCCTGTGGGGGGTGGGGGGGGATCTTGTCCTGTGGGGGTGGGGGGGGATCTTGTCCTGTGGGGGGTGGGGGGGATCTTGTCCTGTGGGGGGTGGGGGGGATCTTGTCCTGTGGGGGGTGGGGGGATCTTGTCCTGTGGGGGGTGGGGGGGATCTTGTCCTGTGGGGGGTGGGGGGGGATCTTGTCCTGTGGGGGGTGGGGGGGATCTTGTCCTGTGGGGGGTGGGGGGGATCTTGTCCTGTGGGGGGTGGGGGGGATCTTGTCCTGTGGGGGGTGGGGGGGGATCTTGTCCTGTGGGGGTGGGGGGGATCTTGTCCTGTGGGGGGTGGGGGGGATCTTGTCCTGTGGGGTGGGGGGATCTTGTCCTGTGGGGGTGGGGGGGATCTTGTCCTGTGGGGGGTGGGGGGGATCTTGTCCTGTGGGGGGGGGGGGGGGGGGGGGATCTTGTCCTGTGGGGGGGGGGGGATCTTGTCCTGTGGGGGGGGTGGGGGGGGGGGATCTTGTCCTGTGGGGGGTGGGGGGGATCTTGTCCTGTGGGGGTGGGGGGGATCTTGTCCTGTGGGGGTGGGGGGGATTTTGTCCTTTGTGGGGTGGGGGGGGATTTGTCTTTTGTTGCGTAGAGGTGGGGGGATTTGCACTGGGCTGCGGTGGGGGAATTTGCACTGTTTCAGGAAGGGTGGGGGGTGCGGGTGTGGGTGTGGAGGGGTGCGGGTGTGGGTGGGGGGTGTGCGGGTGTGGGTGGCGGGGGGTGCGGGTGGGGGGGGTGCGGGTGTGGGTGGCGGCGGGGTGCGGATGGGGGGGTGCGGGTGTCTGTGGGTGGGGGGGTGCGGGTGAGGGTGTGTGTGGGTGGGGGGGGGGTGCGGGTGAGTTAGAGGAGTAAAGGAAAGAAGAATAATGCATTGTCAGTTTTGTGTGTACTGTAAGAAAATTCATTGTACAATAAACTCCTGATAACTCATCACTCCCAGAGAAAAGTGTTCACGGACGAGTTATCAGCAATGGCGAATTAGGCACATATATATATATATATAAATACAACAACAAGAACTTGCACTTGAATTGGTGAGATGGGGGTACAGAGTTTGATCCGGGGTCAGTATGTGGGCAGCAGAGCCCTGAATGAGCTGGATTTTTTGAACAGTGGGGCTGGGGCGAACGACGACGAGTGCATTTGAATAATCCAGGCGGGATTTTGTTGTTAGTTTAATAATAATAATAATCCTTGCATTTGATATAGTGCTTTTCACGTCGGGAGGACGTCCCAAAGCGCTTCACAGAACACACTGCAAAGTGAATTGACTGTATATTTGTGGGCGGACGCGGCAGCCAATTGCGCACAGCAATGTCCCACAAACAGTCGTAGATTGAAAATGACTAATTTTTTATTATTGTTTTTGGTGTTTTGGAGGGATTATTATTAGGTGTGTGGAGTAAGGAAACTTGCCCAAGGTTTAAAAGGTGTATGTCCTTGTGCCACTAACCACCGTTGGGCGTCTTCTGTCTACAAATCCATAAATAAATGCAGCCGACACACTGACAAAATGATGGTAGTAACAAGTTATGACGGGGTTGAGTTATCAGGAGTTTACTGCACATGTTTTTGATTCTGATATCTTTGCTGTGTGCTAAAGGGATTGTGATGGTTGACACATTGATGACATGCAGGTCCTCTCAGTTGTAGCCTGGAGGCAGATATTTTTTTCTCTTTCCCCATGAACTGTGATCTGGCAAAATTAGTGAAAATGAGGGGTGTGTTACAGTTTTGTAGCCGCAGGATATTGTTAGATCAGCCTCAGGAAGTCCAGGTTTGGATATATTAAGTCAATTTTTCTTTGCAGATACTTTTTTCAAAAGAAGTACACTGCTCGACAGGCTTCTAAGACTCCATACCAAGCAGCAATTTTACAAGAGCTGTACTTTTTTTTGCAGGGCCTTAGTTTCCTGACAGTAGTGTTGGTACTGTTTTACTTAACCACAATAGTAAAAATGTTTGCCTTTATATCTTTTTTGGGCTCATTTATGCAAGTAAATTAGGATAGCGGTTGTAAAACTTGTCTGTTCAAGTATTATGATATGCAAACCAGTATTAAAATTACGGAATGGTATGTGCTCTTATGTTTACTTTGGTTGTGAAAGCTCGTCTGGGTTGGTTGTTCTGGGTAATCTGAGTTTCAAACACTGTGGGAAGCTCTACACTGCGTTAGGGGCGCAATATAAATGCAAGTTGTAGTCGTTGTTCCCTGATCTCCGTAACATCGCCCGACTCCGCTACTACCTCACCCCTCAGGCCGCTGAAATTCTTGTTCATGCCTTCATCACCTCCAGGCTCGACTATGCAAACCCCCTGCTTGTCGGCATTCCCAACTCCTCCCTCCACAGGCTGCAGGTAATCCAGAACTCTGCAGCCCGTGTCCTCTCCCGCAACAAACTCCATGACCCCATCTCCCCCATTCTCGCCCGACTCCATTGGCTCCCTATCCTTCAGGGGATCCTATTCGAGATCCTGGTCCTCACCTACAAAGCCCTCCATGGTCTCGCCCCACCCTACCTCTGTGACCTCCTAACCCCCTATCAACCCGCCCGCTCAGCCGGCTCCGGCTGCTCCACGTCCCCCGACCCACCCGCCCCACCATTGGCGGGAGAGCCTTCAGCCACTCTGCCCCCAACCTCAGGAATTCCAACCCCCAGTCACTCCGCCTCGCCCCCTCCTTAGCCTCCTTCAAGTCCTGCCTCAAGACCCTCCTCTTCGACCATGCCATCGGCCACCCCCTTCCCTTCCCCTCCCTTCTACCCCCTGACCCCAGCTCGGGTCTGAAATGCTGTACACTGTCCAGCGCCTTGGGACGTCCTCCTGACGTGAAAAGCGCTATACAAATATAATCTTGTTGTTGTTGTTACATGGGCACAAGTTTTCTGTTCCAAGGTAATACAGTGATCGGGGAATACATGGTTTCGCTGTCCATATTGTCATTATTTTAAAAGGTGTATTTCCTTGTGCCACAAACCATTGCTAATCCTCTTATCCACAAATCCTGCCCTTGGGGCAGATATTTAGTAGTGTACAGGAGTGGTTCAGGGTGACTGATTTATCTTTTGTCCTTTACTTGGCACCTTTCCTTTGTAGTATGGTTCGAATTGAGAACTCGATGAATGGAGGCTATGGACATGTTGTATGGAACTTGTTGTATAGCTGTTTTAAATCCTTCTGTGGGACTGAGTCGGATTTTAGGCTGCAGCCAGGATGACAGCACAGTTTCATTTTTAGTTTGTAGCTGCGTAAAATGCTGTCCACAATGTAGCAGCAGAACAAGTTTAAAACCATTTATTGTGCATGGAATATGTCTTGAGGACCATTCTAAAGTTTGTTTTTATCCACAAAACAAACCCAGGTATTTTTCCATTTTTTTTGTGGCAACAAGGGAGAATATCTGGTAAATTTGGTGAAAGTCGCAATTTATTTTGGAATATCAAAAATCACAATATGCCTGATATTACAAAACAGCAACCAATAATTGATACAGTAATAATAATAATCCTTGCATTTGATATAGCACTTTTCACGTCTTTGAGACCTCTCAAAGTGCTTCACAGAATATATGGTAAAATGAATTGGCTGTATGTTTTGTGGGCGAAACGTGGCAGTCAGTTGCACACAGCACTGTCCCACAAACAGTCATGGATTGGGTGAC